ATGTCCCTCCTTACTGGATCTGTAATAAAAGGGTCAATTACGGGAATTGGCAAACAGACAAATCAGTATGATATTGGTTAATTCAAGGATATTGCAGGTAAATGACAGGTAAATTACAGCTACTAAACAATCTGAACAAAGAATATAGAAATATCTGTATGACTGCAAGCGATTGCGAATTGTCTTAACTGTACTGCATTAACCGCAGACGAAAAGTATGATACTGAACTAAAAAACTGACATATTTCTTACGGATATTTTTGTTTCAGTCGTTTAAGAACTGTTCAGATCAAAATGACTGTTTCGGTTTACTAGTGTGAGAATCAGTTATGGTAACTTAAAAAAAATGTATTCATTAAATTACAGAAATTGTTTTGAGCAAGATTTGATTGTAACAATCAACAACTATATGTCATTAAGAAGAAAGTGTTGGTGAAATAAACCAAACATTTCCTTTCAATTGCCTTTCATTTTGTGATATCAAGAACTTTTATTGCTGACTATACAGTTATGTTTTTGCTCATTGAGGAAGGCTGCAAGATGATATAAAGTAGCGTAAATCGTCGCCATTAATTTAAATCTCTGTTGGATAGTTGTCACATTAGCAATTACACCAAAGATTATTGTATATAAGGTATGATTGCCAATGAGCCAACTCTCAACCACAGATCATATAAAAAAGGCGTTTACTACAATAGGTCACCATGATCACCGTTCAAACTAATAACAAATCATGAATCTAAGACTATTCTGTTTGTCAACTTCCCTGAATAGATCAAGAATTTATGTCATTCAAAATCAACAAAATATAATAATATACTGTCCTGTACATGAACCCAAGAATTAAGTATGCAATTCCTATTTCAAACTATGTTCATACTTTATAGATACATAAAAGGTTGATTATGATCGTGATGATATGTTTGGTGAATACAACTATGCACAATGCTATTTAAATTAAACAATTACTTTACGCAATATTGTGTAACTGTAAATGAAATTTAAAGTATGTTTTTATAGAGTAATTGTTATTCAGTTAACCACATTTCAAGCAAATGTACAGGTAATTGAAAACTTATGTTTGAGAGTAAAGTGTAGGTTTTACTGTAAAATTGTTAATTATTTGTATTATGTTTAATTGTTGGTTTTCCTCTTTCTAACTTAATTGATAAACATGCAAAAGTTAACTGTCTCTATTCATCATATATATATTATTTTTCTTTCAAATTTAATAAACCTCTGAAGTTTTACGAATTTTGAGTTTAAGATGAGGATTGAAGAAAGGCGGGAGATAAAAAGAGGACATTCGAAACTCCTAAGTCGAGACAATGCATGGCAAAAAATAGAAAGATGACTAAAAGACAAGCAAGATCACAAAATACTAAAAACATCATTATCAAAAGATTTAAAACTGTGCTAAACGAACCCTGCGTAAAAAACTGGACTGGTCTCAGGTGTCAGAATTAGTAAGCAAATCCTGTTCCACTCGTCAATAGATATAGGAAGATGTGATATGAGAAGCCCGTCTTGTGGCTCTTGGTAGGTAAAATTCGTGAACGCGATCGATTGAATGAATGAAAGATTGAATGGATGAATGAATGAATGAATGAATGAATGAATGAATGAATGAATGAATGAATGAATGAATGAATGAATGAATAAATGAATGAATGAATGAATGAATGAATGAATGAATGAATGAATGAATAGTGCTAACCTCAACCATCAAACTGACACTAAACAAGAAAATGTTAATATACGAACCTTATAACCAGGTAGTAAAAACCTCATGAAGTTATAATCCTTATGTGGTATAAGAAGCCCATCTTGTGGCTCTTGGTAGGTAAAATTCGTGAACGCGATTGATTGAATGAATGAAAGATTGAATGAATGAATGATTGAATGAATGAATGAATGAATGAATGAATGAATGAATAAATGAATAAATGAATAAATGAATGAATGAATGAATGAATGAATGAATGAATGAATGAATGAATGAATGAATAGTGCTAACCTCAACGCTCAAACTGACACTTAACAGGAAAATGTTAATATACAAACCTTATTACCAGGTAGTAAAAACCTCATGCAGTTATAATCCTTATCAACGTTTTTCTTGTTTCCTAATCTCTATATTTCTGTTGAATATTTATCATGTGTATGATATCTGTACTTTACAAAATATTTGAATTTAATCTTATCTGAATAAAATAAAAATTATTATTTACGATAATAATCAAACATAGTATGAACAAGCACAGTTAATATTATTTTAAACTAGCTATATATAGAGCGTTACTAATATGTATTATTATACAGAAAAGAAAAACCTATAAAACAAATGTTTATACCTTCCTTATCCAACAAAAGCAATACAGTCGCATACTTTCATAATAAATTTATTACTTTACTAGGATAGAAATCCGTTCTATTTATAAATTTTTAAATGCTATAAAAGTTGTTACTAATGTGAAATAATAATATGTTTATATATCAAATGAAATGACCCTTGAAAATATTATTATTTAATACTACCGGGTAGAGAAGAAAATGTTAATAGGGAGAATCAGGATTGGGAACAATTTAATTCCTTGAAGAAAAATAAATTGTGGGATTTGTAAATATTTGAAACTGACGAAGTTGTCAACAATGTTAAATTGAATATACAGCACACTGTATTCACTTCCATTCAGGTGTCGTGATATAATATTATGGTTTCATGAGTTCCTAAACCACTTTCGTCATCAATACATATTCTGCGGTATAGATTGGTTGTAATGTTAATAAACAATGCAAATCGCAGGCTATTCAACTGATTATTAAGGACTTCCATGAGAGAGAAAAAAAGTAGTTGTTTTAAGTAGAATTCTTTACAAACGGATTAAAGCTATCAGGTAATGCGATACTTTCCACAAATATGTGCTGAACACAATAACTAATTACTTCAAAGATAAAACCACACTTGCCATTCCAGTTCACTACACTCAACCAATTGCATCAAAGATTTTCATTCACAATAAGGTATTCACATCTTTACTCAGAAGTTATTGACAGTTCTACAGCAGAACAAATTGATACAGTTCGACAATAGACTGGATTGAATTAGTTTGGACCTAGATAGAAACGTTGACAGTTCTAACCTAGTACAAAGCCTACTTGTTCTTCTGTAAAAGATTTATATCTATTTCATATCGTTACCTTAACACTGAGAGTGGAATCGCATGGCGGATGATGCACGATCAACAAGAGACATTAACCGTATTGACCTACCCTATCAAATCTTATGGAGTTCTTGCAATTCCTCCTATTTTTACTTTTAACTTCGATTTGTATCTTCTGAACGAATCTATGAGATTTAAACATTGGTGAACTACTGTTTCCTCTAATCATTCTATTATTGAATAGTTATTATTATTCTGACCGGTCTATAGAGAATTAAGAACTGCTTCCAATGAAACTAGTACCATCATTTATTTCTTTCCTGCAATAAAAGGTTTTCAAATTTTTTCACCTAACACATTAATATTCCTTAATTATTGTCTTTTTACGTATTTCTTTTTCTTTTTGTAACTTGATTTTCATCATTTATTTTCACTTTTTATGGATCATTTGTTGAGAAGTCTGACTCTTTATTTCAATGTGAATACTTGAAAAACGTTCGCATCAAATTTTTTTAATAGAAAACAGTAAACTACAAGAACATTATTATTTTTCAGACATCGGAAAATGATTGATGAGGTTTTTGTATAAGGTTATTTATTTTATAATATAGTGAAACGTATTTTGACACACTTTCACGGTATTTCTTAAAAAATAACAATTAATAGAAAATTTAAACTGCACAAACCGGAAAGGAAATACTTGTAAGAAAATCACTTAGCTTAATCATAAGCGCACCTTGTAATCATCTACGATGTAAATACCACATGTAATTTTACATCAGTTCCGTTGGTTGACATAGCTGAGCGTTTGATTTTGTCACGGTTTATAGGCTTTCCCCTTTTCTCAATTAACCTTTTCGTTCGTTTTTCTGTTTATACTTGATTATTCAAATATAATTTATTTTTATGTACGCTCCTTTGTAATAAATATGCTGCATAAAAGTTGGAAAAAAAGTCTATTCAAAATATTATTTCTACAGTGTTATACTAAATTTTTTCTCTCATTTTGAAACACTTTATAAGGTCATCATCAATGAGTGTTTATATTTTATAAAAAAATATTACAATACTAATAGAATTTATTTTCTCCCTCGTTTCAATCCTCCGAAAATAAAGTTTTTTTTTCTTAACTAGATATCGTATAAAAAAACCAAACACAGTATAGGGTTGTGCGTTGCTACAAGATCACCTTTAATATAACATGTTTAACAAATATATACAATCAGCCATACATAAATGCATCAAATTTCACCATACACGAGTCGATAAAAAACGATTGGGTTACATATAAGATGGTTATATGGGGTGGGAGTTTGAAGCTTAGAGAAAGTCCAAATAACTGTCAATTCCTGGAAAATAATGGAAAGTAAGCCTAAAGAAACGAAGCTCGTATTTTTCCAGGAATTGAAGTTATTTGGACCTTTGTTAACTTAAAATATACATTAAATATTGAAAATGAATCTTCCGATTATAAAATTTTAAAGACTTCTTTTAAATTTTGTAATGATTTTCCTTTCATGTTCTCCGTATTGTACACACTAACACGTAGGCAAACATTTAGGATCAAGATGACCATCTACTCACTAAACGGAATAATAAGCATGCTCACTAGAAAATGATCATCCAGATTTATGTTATAAGTCATTGGATACGCACTTCTTTCTTGTAATGGGATTGAAAATATATTCTATGTGGCATTAACTGGTATTCCAGAATAAAAATAACTATATAAACCTTATGATTGTGTGTGTTTTTTATTTGATAAATACTGGACAAGAAAAATTAAAGGGTAAACTAGAACACTGTTCCATGTATGTATAGTAACTCTGTAGTATATTTTTTTATTTGTAAAGATGTGTTTAATTAGAAGTGATTTCGATAACAATATGTATTTTAAATATTTTAAACCATTCTATTAGATGAAATAAAATTACAAACGAAAAAACAGTGTTTCATTCATATCCCAACATTTTTGTCTTTCCCTTTTTTTATTATTAAAAACAAATATTTGATCTCATTTACTACGAATCAATAAATAAAATGATTAAAATAACAATGAAACAAAAACTATCCATCGAAATGTTTTTTTTCATTCTCCATATATGATAACTAAAATGTAAAGCCATCGAACAAATGTTCTTGATATATTCCCTTTCCTGAACAAAATTTTATTGTTAAATAGTCAATTTTGATTATAATTTTTATCGCGTTCCGTCCTACAGAAATGTTTTTACTTGTTATTTTATTTTGATAACACACATACTTGTAATAAATTTACACATATTAGGAATCAAATGATATCGGTGTAATGTTCCTTAAGCGTTTACATCAGTTTTATTTCTAGCTAGGAATCATACACTTTTTTCAAGCAAAATACAAAGGTCTACTTTCTTTAATCTTTTCCCTACAAATTGGACATTGTTTCACTTTTGTCTTGTCGCTACAGTTTTTGCACCAGCATACATGCATGCATGGCAAAAATATTACTTCTACTGGATTACCAAAACATATTTTACACAGATATTTGTCACCCTTGCTGTTCCCTGATTTCTGATTATCTTTTCCAACGCTCTCATTTTCTGAAAAGAATCAAAAGAATAATTCAAATTTAGATGTCTAAAATTGTCGGAACTCGTCGATATTTATTACGACTTAAGTTTCATCGTTTAAACTTACTCAGTGTTTATCTTCATCTTGTAATGATTTGCAAAAATATGAACGTTTAAGATAATGAAAAAGAAATAAAATTAATTAACCCTTTCACGTTTCGCCAAATTGGATCTAAACATATGGTAAAGACAATCGAATATAGCATTCGCACCAAAACATACACGAAGGTCTTTTTGGATTCATATGGAAGATAATTGAATGAATATTTCAGAAAATTTAATATTTAGAAAATTTGTCTGTTTAAGTCACTTGGTATCTTTCAAAAAGCCACGTGACTTGCGGGAAGAAAGTTAAAAATACAAAATTCATGCGGAAAAAGTCATATGGGTCGCTAATAGGGTATAGTTTTTGTGTCAAAGCAATAACCCAAGTCTGATAGACACAGAAAAGTCGATATTATAGTAAAGACAGAGAAAATACGTGCTATATGCCTCGCAATGTTGATGCCCGCAACATGAAAAATAACGGAATTCAGCAGTTTTGTATCGTCAAAATATAATACCTGACACACATTTCTGGCTAAATCATGTTCATTTTAGTTAACTCTACCATTAACGCAGTGAGAAAGAAAAATCTATCCTGTTTTAGTTTAGAAATTAAGTGTCGAGATAAGATATAATTGTTTGCCAACTCCATCATTTTTTTAGCAAAAATAGGGAGATACAATTTTTTTCTTGATATATGTATGTTTCTTCATTTCAACAAAGAAAAAAAAATGTTTTATTTTAACTTTGCTTAAAAATTTCATGATATTTTGGGTCCTTTTGTCTCTTTTTCAACTAATTTGGTAGGAAATGACCACACAATTTGAGTGCATTTCGAGTTTGTGATTACGTTGGTACACGTTGAATTACTTGAATCAAACTTGTGTACAGGTTTTAATCATAATTTGAATAACAGCTGTGTTAATAAAAAAAAAAGATCACATTGCCCCCGAAATCAATAGTATACTTTACCATACTCTATGGTAATATTGTGTTCGAATTATTAACAAAACAAAACTGCTTGCACGGGAAAATATATTGTCAGTAAGAGGCGATTTTATATAAAACTTTACTTGGTATTCCAATGGGCACTAAGTGCGCCCCTTTAATAGCAGACTTGTTTTTGTACTGTTATGAATCACAGTGTATGACCAAACTCAGTAAATACCCGTCTAAATTACATTTAATTGATAAATTCAACAACACTTACCGTTATCTTGATGATATATTTTCGTTAAATAATCTAGAATTTTCTAAATATACTGCCGAAATTTCCCCAAAGGAACTTACTTTAAATAAATCAAATTTAAACGGTAATAACTGTCCTTTCCTAGATTTAGATATTTCGATTTTACACGGGAAACTCCACACTAAAATTTACGACAAAAGGGACGATTTTTCGTTCCCTATTGTTAATTTTCCCTTTTTGGATGCTGATGTTCCTTTGGCAACTCTTACGGTGTTTATATTTCACAACTCGTTCGCTATGCCAGTTTCTGTTGTGACGATTTTGATTTTAACGAACGTAATCTATGTATTACTGGTAAATTATTAAGCCAGGGATTTCGTTACCACAAATTACTTAAAACATTTACTAAATTTTTCCATAGATATAAAGATTTGGTTTTGAAGTTTGGTTGTACCTGTAGAAAACTTATTTCAAACGGGATACCACATCCTAATTTTTACACAAATGTTGTTTACCGTGCCCGGAAATTTAGAAACGATCCTGGTAATCTTATTGATCCTTTAAATAAACTAATTCTAAAAGGTTACCAATTCAACACTGTAATTATATCATTGAATATTGTTTTTATTGGTATTAATATTGATTTTGTTATCAGTAAATTAAAAGCAAACTAAATATTATTGATATATACATATACACATTCATGGATCTACAATCTGTCGATACCTGTATCTTGGCATTGCACAAGGTCATGTTTTTCTCTGACTGTTTATGACGTCTTTACACTAAATCCATTGGATGTTGGATGTGTACGGATTGACAATTTAGTCTAAGATGCATGATTTTTTAATTAGTTGTTAGTGGCTTTGAACTAGCTGTCAGTAACTGCGAGTACTCTCAGATCTGTACTTAGTGTCTTTTTGTTGTTGGGATATACAAGTACCCGGCCACGTCCACTCTGTGTAGTATTTCTGTTTGTATCCATCTGATGAGTTAAGCCTTTTTCGACTGATTTTTATCGTTCGTTCTTATGTTGTTCTTCTGTTACACCACTGTCCCAGGTTAGGGGAGGGTTGGGATCCCGCATGGTGAACCCCGCAACATTCTGTATGTATGTGCCTGTCCCAAGTCAGGAGCCTGTAGTTCAGTGGTTGTCGTTTGTTGATGTGTTACATATTTGTTTTTCGTTCATTTTTTGTACATAAATTAGGCCGTTAGTTTTCTCGTTTGAATTGTTTTACATTTGTCATTTCGGGGCCTTTTATAGCTGACTATGCGGTATGGGCTTTGCTCATTGTTGAAGGCCGTACGGTGACCTATAGTTGTTAATTTCTGTGTCATTTGGTCTCTTGTTGAGAGTTGTCTCATCGGCAATCATACCACATCTTCTTTTTTATATTGGTAGACGTTTACGGCACCATGAATCACAAAGTTGGGATTTAGAGTTCATGTATTGATTTGAGCCCTCAACCAGTGCTGTACGAAAACAAAATGTCAAAGATTCAGGACTTTACGCAAACTAGTTGCTCGAAAACTTCGCCCATCGGACCCGATGGGAACGTAAAGGAATAATTGGTGGGCCAACAAACAGAATAATGCAGATTTGTTTTAGATTTAGATAGACACTCGTAAATTTTACAGATCACCTTAAGTTTTTGGTGGGGTTCGTATTGCTCAGTTTTCAGTTTTCTATGTTGTGTTTTGTGTACTATTGTTTATCTGTTGGTCTTTTTCTTTTTTAGCCATGACGTCATCAGTTTATTTTCGACTTATGATAGATATAAGAAGATGTGGTATGAGTGCCAATGAGAAAACTTTCTATCCAAGTCACAATTTGTAAAAGTAAACCATTATAGGTCAAAGTACGGCCTTCAACATTGAGCCTTGGCTCCCATCGAACAGCAAACTATAAAGGGCCCCAATAGTGTAAAACCATTCAAACGGGAAAAACTACCGGTTTTATCTATATAAAAAAACGAAAAACGAGAAACTCTAATGAACCACTTCAACAAACGACAACTACTAAACATCAGATTCCTGACTTAGGACAGATGCAAACAAATGCAGCGGGTTTAAACGTTTTATTAGGTACCAACATTATACCCTTATCTAAAACAATAGTGTAACAGCACAACATAGAAAGACACACTATAAAATATCAATCGGAATGGCTTAGCTCAATCAAAAGACATATTAACGCAAGTGAACATACACTGAACGAATAAATTATGAGTTTGAATGTCCCTTTGGTATCTTTCGTCTCTCTTTTGAAATATTGGGGTTCTTTAATATGGTGTATTTCGATTTTGGAAATCGGTCCATAAAGAGTTCAAAATAATACTTTGTTTGATCTCTTCAAAAAAATGAGTTATTTGGGTTCTTTGATATGCTGAATCTAACCGTGAATTAAGATTTTTTTGGACCAGTTTTCAAGTTGGTTCAAATCGGGTTCCAACAGTGAACTGAATTTGATTTCAACAAATATTGAATATTTGGGGTTATTTGATATGCAAAACTAACTATCTTTTTTTAGATTTTTTTGTTGTTGTCCCGTTATCAAATTGGTCCATACAGAGGTCCAAAGGGTCAAAAATTAAACTTTGTTTGATTTCACAAACAATAGGATATGGGGGTTCTTTAATATTCCGAATCTATTTAAATGTTGGATATTGACCCACAAAAGATAAATGTCCACTTTCAGATTTTTTTAAAAGTTCTTAGATCGAATTCATTTTGTGTCAGAAACCTATGATTTGTCGAATATTTAATCACAATCCAAATTCAGAGCTGCATCAAACTTGAATATTGTGTCATACTTGCCCTTACTGTTCAGGGTTCGACCTCTGCAGGTGTATCAAGTAGCTCCATGTGGAGCATGTCATTGTGTTTACCTCGGAGTTTGGTATTATTGTTATGTTTTTGTTTATATTTACTTGTATCTATCAAATATATTTTTTTCTACATGTCCTTTGAAGAAGAATTAAAATAAACAGAGCGAAATACAGAAATATACCTTTTGCAGTAAATGGTTCTGCTACTTGTTCAGAGGTGTAATCCGTTGCTCCTTGTAAGAATGATTCTATTTCGTCGATTTCTGCAAACTGTTGCACTTCATTCACATGATTTGTAGTGTTTCCTACATTTTAAGGCATAAAATATAAGAAAAATAACTAGTTTTGTTTCTTCTATAACTTGGTATTGGGTCCTAATTAATGTTATTATTCGTATATCTTTGATAAAAAAAGAATTGTTTTATTATTCTGCAATGTAGGTTAAACATTGACCCTATCAAATTGGTTCATGCGTTAAATGAATGCAATCATGCAACATATTTGTTGACTGCGCATTTTGGTAGAGAAACTTATACTTGATTTCTATTAGTTCTTTTCGACTAATGAGTTTTCAATGTCCCCTTTTTTCCTGCCTATCCGATATTACATACACATATTGTCATTCTTTTTAAAGCAAAGTGTTAACAGTATTTTGCCTGGCAATGCTTGTTTAACAATCCATTAGTATATAACATAAACTTTCCAAAATAAAGGGGATGCCGTCGAACTGTATATTAAATCAATTTCATTTAAAAGCATAACAACAAACAAAACAATAATAAGATAATCCACAATAAAATTCAATAAAAGCTATGGCAAAACATATTTTTCTATATATTTCAAAACATATGTTGTAATGTTGTAAAAAAGAGAATGGATGTGTATAGCTCTATTTTATTACTTCTTTTTAGTTGTGTTATCGTGTTTTGATCAGATTCAGTCGTGTTGTCATCATTTTGTCGATTTGTTCAATCGTTTGTGTTTATTTCTTAAAAATTGTAGGCATGTTTTTTTTTGTTTTTTTTTCACAAAGTACATGTATTTGATACAACATTAAAATACAAACACAGAAACTAAGAGTGCAAAATATGTTTACCGTTGTTCTCAAATGTTCTGGTATCAATGTGACTCTCTCGCTTCTGGTAAATTTGCTGCAACACAAACAAAGAGAAACCCTTTTTCACACTTATTTATCAATAGACAAACGTAATATAACAATATCAGAACGCAATTTAACAATTCTGAACCTTAATATAACATTTCCGAAACCTTCAACACAACAAAAGCAACACTTAATATAACAATTATCTTTGATAGCAGGAAATTATTGCTGACAGGTAAAAAGAATATTTTCATCTTTCAAAAAGTTTATACGTCCTTTAAATAATATTGATAATCTTCAGGCCAACCATCCCAATTATCAATGAGCTTTCAATTACCGACACAACAGACAAAAAAATGTAGCCTCCATACTCTGACATTACAAACTCATTTTTTTACCTTCAGGGAAATTGTCAAATCTTTTTAGAATGACAGGCATGACATACATACTAATTCCGTTACTATGGTTGTTTCTTTAGTGGTCATTCTGTTAGGAGCTGGACTGTGGTATTTTTTGACAGGTTTTACTTATGAGACATACATGTAGATATGCAAAGAAGATGTTTTTGCAAACATTTAACTGGTTTAACACTACACTCTTGTTTACCTATGTCAAGTCAGGCTATATGTCCAACGTGTGTTTTTTTTTTGTTACTTGTCTTTAGATATAAGAAGATGTGGTATGAGTGCCAATGAGACAACTTTGTTTGTATGTCTATATTTTCATATATTTGAAGTCTCTGCCATTTCGTTCAAATCTCCTCTTTTTTTTTTCTGTCGTTTTCCTGGAATTGTGAATTCTTTCCTTGAACTTTGGTATATCAATCATATATTTTGAAATAAGAATATAGTCGTTTTAAACAAAAAGCACGTAAGATTAAGAACCAAGGTCCATGGGGAAAGACTATAAGACAACTAATAATTTACAAGCTTATTGATTTGACTATACCTGGTTGTGGGAATCTAAGAAACACATGTAATATTCAAGGAAAAAACAACATACTTTGTTTTGGCAAAATATTACATAGATCAATGTAGAATACAGAAATTAAATCCAAACTTTAAACCTTGATTGGATTTTGGTTTTCGGGAAAGAGAAAACAATGCATCCCTATAGATTTTGATGGGGTTTGTGTTGCTCTGTCTTTAGTTTTCTTTTTATTGCTTTTGAGGGATTTTAATTTTCGTTTCGTCGTTTTTCATATTTTTGGAATGGTTTTGTCGGTCTTTGTTTTGATAGTTCTTTCGATATCGTTGGTATTTTCTGCCTTCTTTATCCAGGTGAAACACTCTGTTTTGGTCCGTTTGTGGGTGGTCTTTGTCAATTAATATTATATACCTAGTACTCAGTCTTAAGCTAATTCACACTTGCCTCAGATGGAAATAAAGTTAGATATGAAATTGAATGATGCTGTGACGAATTTCTTTGAGCCCAATTACGGGACCTTTTATTAAGCAACGATGCTATTGAAGCCCTTGTGGTTCTGAAAATAGAATCATTTGAATGAAAAAAATATCATAGCTAACAAGTCGATTATTTACCTAAAGGAAGAAAAATACTAAAGTGGTAGTGTAGTTAATTTCAATCATAATGCACAATAACTTTTTTCTTTTGAAGCTCACAGAATATACACATTGAACGTTTGAAGAAACTGTTTAAACCATTCTTTTTAACAGTTTGCATGGAGTATTTGCAGTATATGCAATATATTATTGTAAATAGTGTTGTTACTCCTAACTTTGCTCTGCGAACAACTAAATGTAAAATCTTTTTACATTTAGAGGTAATTATTTGTGGCTTTTTTGTTTTTACCTCGAACATGTTGGTATTCAGTATTTTTGTTATTCTGTTTCGATATGGTATCTTCAGAACAACCCTAAACGTAAAAACAAGCTAGAAATTACATGAGTTAACCACATTTAATAATTTTTTGGGCACATTTTTCATACTGAAATTATCAAAACAAATGAAAATATCTGTTAAAGTACTATTGTGAATGTTAAGTTTTGTTTAATAATTTAGTGTTCATATTTTCATTATTATAGTGGGCTTTGCGGTCACAGTATTCGTTTACTATAAATCATGCCTTAGTATGGTGTGGAGTGTTTCTAAGGAGAAATGACTTCAATATATTTTACCATGGTGCATAAATTGGAACCTGTATTATGTAATTTTGATTTAGTACACTGTGATTGAGACAACTCTAAAAACCCTAAAGTTTTATTTGTAATTCTAATCGGATATTGTATTGTGTCTTATCGTTTGTAGTTGTAATTCTTTATTTTCTATTCGTATGTAAAAGTAAAGAGAAATTATCAACCATTTCATCTGTATGATTTTAGTTAAAAGCAACTATGTGCACAGGATTTATTTGTTTTACACAGTTTGATTTGGAAGAACGGCCTACATAGTTAAATAAAGCAGTTAGTTGCACATTAACTGACACAATTCTATATTAATATTCTTGTAATTGTTACAATATACTTTGTGGCTTTGATACATTCGTGTGACAGACACACAGTTCGTAATTTTATTATGCTGTTTTTATGTACTGTTTTATATTAATTTTAGTTATTCGTTGTTATTCTGTGGTTAACATCTCAAAATGTACTTTTATATTATTTATTTATGTATGTCTCTGTCATGAGTGTTCCTGCATTTATCAAGAACCGATTCTGTTAACATTTTAGAGGATTGCAACACAATTTCATATAGCAGTCCTAAGTATGAAATCGTTCAAATTATAATGGCATATTGTTATTCTAAACTGTTTCCCAAAATTGATCGCCCTGAAGATCATAAAAAACAGTTTTTTTAAATAAAGTATGTCAATGAAGGTTTTGATTTTGTAAATATTGCCGGTATTTTTAACGACCATTCTGTTAAAGAACAAATTCCGGGATATTTTTATAATACTGAGCTCCCTCTTATTTGTTATATTTACAAGAAATCTACTCGGAAATTTGTGTTTAATTATAGCCAATTGTGTAAAGATGTTAATATCAGTGAAAATACACCTACTTCATGTAATTGCAGTAATTCTGAATACATTTATGGACCCATTTCCCATGTTATAACAGAAGATCTTAACATCGTTCAAGACTGCGAGTTAAAATCATTCCTCAGTAAAGGACCTAAATATCGTCCAATTATTAATTGGAATGAGTGTCGTAATATCATCCACGACTCACTCCATACTTACTGTTTGAAATGGATAAAACGGGAAAAAGCTGACAAAAAATCTTTGGACTCTTTTTTAAATCAGTAATGAACATAGTTGATATACGTATTCAACATTTTAAAGAACATTTTACTCTTAACAATAACCACAATAAACCTATTTCTCGTATCAAACATAAACTAAAAGAACTAGCCAAGGAATTTGTTTTTGTCCCGGCCGATAAAGCTGCTAATAATATCATTATTGTTTGACGTAAATTTTACATTGAGGTTCTGAAAAAAAGAAATCACCATTTCACCAACATTCCAACTGACTCCATTTTCAGAAAACGACATCTGTAACAAACATAAACTTTTAGCTACCGCTTTACAAGCATAACCAAATACAATGAAAGTCCCAACTATGTATTGGCTTCCGAAGCTACACAAAACACCTTACAAATATAGATTCATTTCGTCTTCAAGCCATTGTTCCACTACTCAATTGTCTATTCTTCTTACCAGTACACTTGGTACAATCAAAAACCTGATAATAAATTGTTCAAAAAAGGCCTTCAAAAATAGTGGAATATATTACTTTTGGAGTGTCAAGAACTCGTTGGAAGTACTTGATAAATTGCATGCATATATTGGTGATTTTGAATCTGTTCAGAGTTTTGATTTTTCTACCCTATATACCACATTGCCTCACATTCTCATTAAGAAAAAATTCACACACCTAATTAAATGGGCATTTAAAAAGTCAGAATGTGAATATATATGTTCAAACTCTTTTAGGTCATTTTTTAGTAGCAATAAACAAAAAAACTATGTCAATTGGACATGCTTTGATACTATATATGCCCTTGAATTTTTACTAGATAACATTTTTGTTCGCTTTGGAGATTCCGTATATCGTCAGGTTATCGGAATTCCAATGGGGAATAACTGTGCACCACTTATTGCGGACCTTTTTTTGTATTGCTATGAGTTACAATTTATGACAAAAATCAGCAAAGACCCATCCAAACAACATCTGATACACAAATTTAATAATAGTTTTAGATATTTGGATGATATTTTGGCTCTCAATAATGACGACTTCAGTATGTATACTAAAGAAATTTATCCTGTTGAACTTACTTTAAATAAAGCTAATACTAACAATGACCACTGTCCTTTCCTCGATCTTGATATTTATATCATTAACGGAAAGCTTAATACTAAAATATATGATAAAAGAGATGATTTTTTCATTTCCTATCGTTAATTATCCATTTTTAGATAGTGACGTTCCCTTGTCACCATCTTACGGTGTTTATATATCTCAACTTGTACGATTCGCTCATGTATGAAACAATGTTTTAAATTTTAACGAGAGAAATTTATGTATTACTGAAAAATTATTACAACAGGGTTTTCGATATCACAAACTAGTCAAAACATTTACTAAATTTTATCATCGGTATAAGGACATCATTCGTAAATATAGCTCAACATGCAGACTTCTTATACGTTCAGGTATTTCACATCCAATTTTTTATGGAAATATTTTTTATAAAGCACAAAAATGTCAGTATTCACCTCTGAAGCTAACAAAACCTTTAAATAGACTTATAAAGAAGGGATATAGTTACGATACTGTTGTCAGGTCATTAAAGATTGCATATTTTGGCGTTAATATTGATTCACTTATAGGGTCTTTGCATCGGCACTAAACAAATTTATTTAAAAACCAGTTGTTGGCATGACACGGGTTATGTTCTTCTCATATATGTTATGATGGTATGATACTAAACCCCTAACGGGAAGGATTGTGCCTGATATTCATATGATGAAGACATAATCTTTCAATCAATTTAATTGAAGTCTGGAGCTGGCATGTCAGTTAACTGCTAGTAGTCTGTTGTTATTTATGTATTATTGTCATTTTGTTTGTTTTCTTTGGTTACATCTTCTGACATCAGACTCGGACTTCTCTTGAACTGAATTTTAATGTGAGTATTGTTATGTGTTTACTTTTCTACATTGGCTAGAGGTATAGGGGGAGGGTTGAGATCTCATAAACATGTTTAACCACCGCCGCATTTTTGCGCCTGTCCCAAGTCAGGAGCCTCTAGCCTTTGTCAGTTTTGTATTATTTTTAATTTGAGTTTCTTGTGTACAATTTGGAGTTTAGTATGGCGTTCATTGTCACTGAACTAGTATATATATTTGTTTAGGGGCCAGCTGAGGGACGCCTCCGGGTGCGGGAATTTCTTGCTTCATTGAAGACCTGTTGGTGACCTTCTGCTGTTGTCTGTTCTATGGTCGGGTTGTTGTCTCTTTGACACATTCCCCATTTCCATTCTCAATTTTATTTATTTGTACTGTTTTGCCGTCATGTAATGTTGTCATTTTAGTGGCATATTTAACATTGCAATAAAGCGCGAGTTTTGGCTAACCACAAAACCAGGTTCAACCCACCATTTTGTCTTAAAATGTCCTGTTCGAAGTCAGGAGTAAGGCAGTTGTTATCTAATAGTTCGTTTCTATGTGTGTTGCATTGTCGTTTGTTTTTGTTGCACTTCATTGTTTCTGTTGTTTCGTTGTTTTCCTCTTATAGTTGATGTAATTCCCTCGGTTTTAGTTTGTAACCCAATTTGTTTTCTCTCAATCGATTTATGACTTTTGAACAGCGGTATACTTCTGATGCCTTTATTTACTTATCTGTAATGATCAATACTTGAAGAAGAGAGTATGACTGGGGCTTTAATAAGGTCTGTTTTTGGTATCATGAAAAAAACACTTATATTTCTAAAACAAATTATAATTTTAATGTATGCAGTCTTTATAGGAGTTAAAGACTTACAGATGTATACGTTCCTGGTACTTATATTGTCGAAGATGAAAAAACACTTCGCTGAAATATCCTTCCTCTGGTCTATCTAAATGTTCTGTTGCTTCAACAACATATCCTGCTCCCTGTGAATCATTATGTTTTATCATTTGAAATATTTGCTATCAGTTTTATCAAATTCATGTAAAATATCTCCTGATAGTTAATCTATCTCTTTCCAAAGATTATTGACATATGGTTACTGTAAATAACATAAGTTTGTTTATTTAATTTCTTTAAATTTTATTGTTGTTGTTCTTAAATTTAATTTCAATTGCCATGTCTCATGTACGTTCGGTTTCGATAGTAAAATACTTTTAGTAATAATTTTACATCCGTCTTACTTGGAGATGAAATAGACCACGACCGTTAATGCAGAGAGAATCGCATCAACTAGATTATAAATTATAGTGCATTGAATGTGTTCATTTATCATACGCTATGTCTGAGTTCAAATCGAGATATTACAATGTATTCCTATCTTATGGTAGTTACTACAGCTGGAAGACTGACAATTCACAAGTATATCATCTGCATAGCATGTAAAGTGAATTGTTTACCATTAGATAAAAAAAAATTAAATGCCCTGCATATAAATTTCAAACTCCGTAAATGTTTGAATTGAAACTGCTGCCACAAGTGAAAATTACAACTTTGGTAACTAATTTTTTGGTCACATAAGATGCAGAACAGTTTATCTATTTATTTAACTTTAGTTAGTCAATTTGACTTTATTGCTGGTTATGTCATAAAAATCTCAATTAAAAAGAGTTTCAAGCAATTGAAATGAGAATAATGTTAGAATGCATTGAAAACATAGACGAAGGAAGCGTAATGTAATGTTCCACTTCGTGTACCATATGTATGAATATTATAGCAATTTTATTCAAATTTTTGTTATTTACTGACCTAAACAGATGGAAAATTATTATTTTGTTAGAACAGACTTTCGATTGCCAGTTTATATTAGAGATGATCCTTTTCACCTTTCAGAAACACACACACACAATCGGCAGGTCCGATCACAGGAAATTAATTAACATGATTAACATGGTTAAGTGGTACCTTCAATACTTGTGTAGCACATGTAACTGTTTCGTTTGTTGAATGTTTAAGTAAAAGCATCAGCAAATTTCTTATCATCAATCGTAGGATAGCCACATTTTCGCTAACGCCTTCAGCTGTTACCTTGCTAAACAAATGAATCTTTTAAGAGTAATCATTTAATATATTAATTTCCATTTAATAATTACATACGTGAAAAGTAGACCATACATGATCAGCTATGGAACCTTAATACTTATTGAATGTATGAATCAATTACAATCATATTGTTAATTTCATTCTTGGCACCAATATAATAGAAGTATAACAAGGGTGTTCCAAATTGTGTCTCTTATTATGTATATACACGACGCTAATGAATTATAAGTTTCTTTTGATTAAGTTTATATAATTTCAAGTTTTTTTAAAGTGATTCTGAAATACTGATAATAATTATACGTCGGATTCTTACAAAATTATGACAAACAGGCAGCATTACAGATACCCTGAATGCTCTCGGTGCATCCGAGTTTTAACGTGGTGTTTTATTCTGTTTGTTCAAGGTAATCTTTTCCTGATTGTCCGTTTTTTTTTTCTTTTCTTTTATCATGATGGTGTTTAAATCAACTTCTTATTTTTTGCTTTTTGTATTGTTGAACTTGTTTCCAAATTCACTTTTAAATTATTTGAGTATTGTTTTTTAAACATGATAAAGACGTACTCTGTTAAAACTTCAATGTATTTTTCGCTATCAAATCTCAGATGTACATTGTTTTTCAAAAAGAACTTATTGACCTTATTCATAAGTTATAAACAATAATGTTGATATGAAACAGATATAGACCATCACATTGATCTTTTTGCTGAAACAAAAAATAAACTATCTTACGTTCAAATTTGAAAATAATTCACCAATTTGAATTGCAAATCCACATAAACGAGCAACTGTATCTGGGTTTGATATCATATCTTCCTTCTTTAAAAATTCTTCCTTGCATCTATGATAATGACAAAAACAACGATCTATTTAAAACATCAATCAGATCAATATTGATTGAACTATTGGTAAGAAAAACAGCTGTCATAAGGAGATCAAGAACCTTTTCCTTAAGTTCATCTAAATGTTGTTAAATACTTAGTTTTCTGCTTACAGTTTTGCGTTTGTCCTCTATGTTTCCCGTCCTCTTTCTTTTTATAATTTCAACAAAAATTAAACAAAAAACATAAAACAAACAAAAAACAACTCTTACTTACCTCTTGATAAATACACTGCGAAATAAAATATAATTGCAAGACATGCAGATATATGTTTTAGTAAGATATTTTAGCTACACAATAAAACTACTACAATATCAAATGGTCATTTTACAATCTTAAACAAAAGATAAATTTGATAAATATATACATGAATAAAATTTAAAAATTAAGGAATTATATGTTTACCTATTATTAATCGCCTAGTTAATATAAATTCTTATAACAGAACCTTTTAGAATCAGCATCAACTTCAAATTCCATAATGCACTCATAAAAAGAAAACTGAAGACGAAGATTTCCTTTTAAATATGAATATTAAAAGTGCAATGAAAAATATCAGGAGGTGGGTCATTGAGTTAAAATATTTTTGGTTTATTAATAGTCAGATATGGATACGATTTTCGTATGTTTTTTATATATCTTATTAAAATATCCAAAGATATGTAAGAGTGCATAAAATCGAAGTATCGTCCCTCTAGAATGTACATCAACCAACAAGTTATTTCCGATAACAGTGACAATTTACAATACTTATCTTGAGTTCACTCGTGCTAATGATGACCTTTTTTTTCAATATGTTTCCAAATGTGTTCATTTCACGACTGTAACCCGCTACGTTGAAAAGATTTGTTGATCATTTCCAAAGAAAACAAAAATAAAATTCCCTTTTTTTTGTAATCTTCTTTTGTGGGGTTCTTGTGCTTAATCTGTAGTTTTCTATTGATTGTGTTGTGTGCAGTTATTAGTCTGTTGGTTTTTTTTTACATTTTCATTCTGTTTAGCCACGGCGTTGTCAGTTTATTTTCGACTATCAGTTTGAATGCTCTTTAGGTATCTTTCGCTATATTGTTCCAAGAGAAGAAAAAAACAATCTAATGATTAAACACATTTCTTCGAGTTTGTTATATTTTTCTTTCTGAGTGGTGCGAGTTTGATGAAGTGATGCAAGTTGTAATAATTAGTGAGAATGTGTGAGTGGTGCGAGTTTGATGTGGGACGAGTTGTGATAGATTCAAGACAAATTAAATACAAAACCATTTCCGCCTGCTCAAATAACGTAGACGGTAAGGAACCAACTATGGAACTTTATTTGGGGTTTAATTAATTCAGCTACGCTAATTTAAGCAATCACTATATAAAATTATTAAGTACATTACATACACTATATATTTATAATTATATAATACTTCAGACGATCGTCGGCTCAAAGACAAATCGGCTAAACAAATTAGGTCTACAAATCAAATAGTATACATTTAGCAAATTATTTCAACTACCTTTTCAAACAAGCTCTCTATAATACTTGATAACACTCCCTGTTCTGTACAATTTTGTAGCATCTGTACAATGACGTCCGATCCTTCTTTTATGTTATCGGGTCGTAATGCCAGTTCATGCATTATATCATTGAAAACAGAAATAATATCGTCTGTACTGGAAGAATTACTAGCATCGTCTAATCTAAGACTTACTAATCGATGGAAATCTTCACATACGTTATTCTGAAATTGTGTAATTGGCGATACATTCCTTTATTTATAAGTAGCGCATGTAAACTAAAACTGCTGTTTTGAACAAAAACCATATTAAAAGACTAACACACTTGAAATAAATCACGAAACAAAAAACCAGAAAAATAAAAATTTACATCTTTTTTTTTTTGATTGAAAAAAGCATGTATAAACGGTTAAGCAGTAAAACAACTGGATCTAAATACTCATTGAGGATTCAATTTAAATCAATTGAATCCGACATCAACTCTACATTGCGTAAAACTATATGCTTGTTATCAATAGCATTGCCTGAAATAATTTGCATTATCTCATACAAGTTACCACACGGTGGTACTCGGTACAAACAATTCATCCTAGTAAGTTTAAGGGCATCTTTAAGTTATTTTGTTACACATTTCCAGTTAATATAATAACGTATTGGATTCCATCTGATAAAATTTCAAAACGTAAACGGGTTGTGCATACGTAAATTGTACCATTTTTTTCTGTTTATTTACAGTCTAGTCTAAATCAAATATTTGCGTTTCTTAAATTAAATATTATATAGCAGTATAACTGTACATACCTGAACATTTATATCACCCTGGACGTTTGACTTTCTCAACCTTGAAGGTACAGGAGTTGTACTTATAGCTTTAAAGTAAAAATAAAACAAATTAGAAAGAACAACAGCCTGAACGATGCTATGAAATAAAAATGGCTAAAATTGTGTACTTTTCCAAGTTATAATTTGTCATTTATCATGCGTATTTCGTAGAAAGGGCTTTCAAAACAAATAAGTCAAAGATAGACAGACAAAACCATGGCATAAGGTAACTATGGCAACAAGGGTTTCAGTAATGAGGTGACAGATATTATTGGAATATTTAAAATCAGAAGTCGTAAACAAACTGACAAACCCATGGCAAATATCGAAAGAGGACGAAAAGGCAAACAGTACACACAACAAAACAAAGAAAACTAGCACTGTGAAAGACGAATCCCACTAGAAACCGGTGGTGATCTCATGTGCCATAAGTGAGACCTAGCCAACTGTATATTGTATTATTCTAGCATAATTTATTTTCTATAATGACTTGATTCCAAAGAATTCAGAACCCCGTGTCTTCAGCTCTTCACTCGCGCTGATTGATTTAAAATCAGGACAGGGGTATCCATGACACGTCTGGTATAGGGTTTCATTCAAGTAGTTTTGCTAATAAAACAAATTAAGATGCAGAAAAAATATGTAATTTATACCCTTTGATCACAACATCGCAGCAACTACAATTCAAGTACCGCATTTATACATTACTCACATTTATGTAGGTTTATTCATCAATTCATATTAGCAAAATATTACAGAACGTTTTTGATTCTATAGTAAATCTCATAATTCTATGAACAATTCTATGGACTATATTCCTAATAAATCATAACATATTATTTTGCTTTTTCTCTAATTGTACGCACATCAATTTAAACAGATATTAACACATTTATCGAGAGATAATTTCTGTGTATTCACGTACCATTAACTGGTCTTCGTAGCTGTGTCGGACGTTGGGGACTTGTTATCATTTGTGGCGCCTTTATTGGGGCATAGAAATGTATCTGTCCCTATGTCATGGTAGGAAGTATATACCCGGATCCAGCTGAAGGGAACACCTGACTCATCATACTGAAAGAAGGCTGTCCCTAAAATGAAAATTGAGCGTTCCAAATATTTGATGATGCTAAAATAAACCTTTGATTTTTCATGCCAGCAGCAGGCTTTCCATTTAATCATAATCAAACAAATCAAGTATTCGACACTCAAGGAAGCATTTGATTCATCATACCGACCGCATGCTGATATATCTTGCTAAAAATAATGACAGTGGAATGTCACTACCTTATTAAGCAACTATATAAAATACTTAATGACGCTGATGGGAACATCTGATGCATCATACTGGCAGCAAGCTGTTCCTAAAATCATAGTCAACTATACTACATTTCAAATATTTGCTGGGTCTGATAGGAACATCTGATTCATCATAAGTGGCTTTCGTGTTTGAACTTTCACTTGTCTCTTAAATAAGAGTAAGCATGCAAAATAAAAGGTGACGCTGATGGGAACATTTACCTTATACCGACAGCAAACTGTCACTGAAACTATAACCTTGCATAACTTTGTTACTCTAACGGGAACTTTCCCCTACGTTCGGTTTCGATAGTAAAATACTTTTAGTAATAATTTTACATCCGTCTTACTTGGAGATGAAATAGACCACGACCGTTAATGCAGAGAGAATCGCATCAACTAGATTATAAATTATAGTGCATTGAATGTGTTCATTTATCATACGCTATGTCTGAGTTCAAATCGAGATATTACAATGTATTCCTATCTTATGGTAGTTACTACAGCTGGAAGACTGACAATTCACAAGTATATCATCTGCATAGCATGTAAAGTGAATTGTTTACCATTAGATAAAAAAAAATTAAATGCCCTGCATATAAATTTCAAACTCCGTAAATGTTTGAATTGAAACTGCTGCCACAAGTGAAAATTACAACTTTGGTAACTAATTTTTTGGTCACATAAGATGCAGAACAGTTTATCTATTTATTTAACTTTAGTTAGTCAATTTGACTTTATTGCTGGTTATGTCATAAAAATCTCAATTAAAAAGAGTTTCAAGCAATTGAAATGAGAATAATGTTAGAATGCATTGAAAACATAGACGAAGGAAGCGTAATGTAATGTTCCACTTCGTGTACCATATGTATGAATATTATAGCAATTTTATTCAAATTTTTGTTATTTACTGACCTAAACAGATGGAAAATTATTATTTTGTTAGAACAGACTTTCGATTGCCAGTTTATATTAGAGATGATCCTTTTCACCTTTCAGAAACACACACACACAATCGGCAGGTCCGATCACAGGAAATTAATTAACATGATTAACATAGTTAAGTGGTACCTTCAATACTTGTGTAGCACATGTAACTGTTTCGTTTGTTGAATGTTTAAGTAAAAGCATCAGCAAATTTCTTATCATCAATCGTAGGATAGCCACATTTTCGCTAACGCCTTCAGCTGTTACCTTGCTAAACAAATGAATCTTTTAAGAGTAATCATTTAATATATTAATTTCCATTTAATAATTACATACGTGAAAAGTAGACCATACATGATCAGCTATGGAACCTTAATACTTATTGAATGTATGAATCAATTACAATCATATTGTTAATTTCATTCTTGGCACCAATATAATAGAAGTATAACAAGGGTGTTCCAAATTGTGTCTCTTATTATGTATATACACGACGCTAATGAATTATAAGTTTCTTTTGATTAAGTTTATATAATTTCAAGTTTTTTTAAAGTGATTCTGAAATACTGATAATAATTATACGTCGGATTCTTACAAAATTATGACAAACAGGCAGCATTACAGATACCCTGAATGCTCTTGGTGCATCCGAGTTTTAACGTGGTGTTTTATTCTGTTTGTTCAAGGTAATCTTTTCCTGATTGTCCGGTTTTTTTTTTCTTTTCTTTTATCATGATGGTGTTTAAATCAACTTCTTATTTTTTGCTTTTTGTATTGTTGAACTTGTTTCCAAATTCACTTTTAAATTATTTGAGTATTGTTTTTTAAACATGATAAAGACGTACTCTGTTAAAACTTCAATGTATTTTTCGCTATCAAATCTCAGATGTACATTGTTTTTCAAAAAGAACTTATTGACCTTATTCATAAGTTATAAACAATAATGTTGATATGAAACAGATATAGACCATCACATTGATCTTTTTGCTGAAACAAAAAATAAACTATCTTACGTTCAAATTTGAAAATAATTCACCAATTTGAATTGCAAATCCACATAAACGAGCAACTGTATCTGGGTTTGATATCATATCTTCCTTCTTTAAAAATTCTTCCTTGCATCTATGATAATGACAAAAACAACGATCTATTTAAAACATCAATCAGATCAATATTGATTGAACTATTGGTAAGAAAAACAGCTGTCATAAGGAGATCAAGAACCTTTTCCTTAAGTTCATCTAAATGATGTTAAATACTTAGTTTTCTGCTTACAGTTTTGCGTTTGTCCTCTATGTTTCCCGTCCTCTTTCTTTTTATAATTTCAACAAAAATTAAACAAAAAACATAAAACAAACAAAAAACAACTCTTACTTACCTCTTGATAAATACACTGCGAAATAAAATATAATTGCAAGACATGCAGATATATGTTTTAGTAAGATATTTTAGCTACACAATAAAACTACTACAATATCAAATGGTCATTTTACAATCTTAAACAAAAGATAAATTTGATAAATATATACATGAATAAAATTTAAAAATTAAGGAATTATATGTTTACCTATTATTAATCGCCTAGTTAATATAAATTCTTATAACAGAACCTTTTAGAATCAGCATCAACTTCAAATTCCATAATGCACTCATAAAAAGAAAACTGAAGACGAAGATTTCCTTTTAAATATGAATATTAAAAGTGCAATGAAAAATATCAGGAGGTGGGTCATTGAGTTAAAATATTTTTGGTTTATTAATAGTCAGATATGGATACGATTTTCGTATGTTTTTTATATATCTTATTAAAATATCCAAAGATATGTAAGAGTGCATAAAATCGAAGTATCGTCCCTCTAGAATGTACATCAACCAACAAGTTATTTCCGATAACAGTGACAATTTACAATACTTATCTTGAGTTCACTCGTGCTAATGATGACCTTTTTTTTCAATATGTTTCCAAATGTGTTCATTTCACGACTGTAACCCGCTACGTTGAAAAGATTTGTTGATCATTTCCAAAGAAAACAAAAATAAAATTCCCTTTTTTTTGTAATCTTCTTTTGTGGGGTTCTTGTGCTTAATCTGTAGTTTTCTATTGATTGTGTTGTGTGCAGTTATTAGTCTGTTGGTTTTTTTTTTACATTTTCATTCTGTTTAGCCACGGCGTTGTCAGTTTATTTTCGACTATCAGTTTGAATGCTCTTTAGGTATCTTTCGCTATATTGTTCCAAGAGAAGAAAAAAACAATCTAATGATTAAACACATTTCTTCGAGTTTGTTATATTTTTCTTTCTGAGTGGTGCGAGTTTGATGAAGTGATGCAAGTTGTAATAATTAGTGAGAATGTGTGAGTGGTGCGAGTTTGATGTGGGACGAGTTGTGATAGATTCAAGACAAATTAAATACAAAACCATTTCCGCCTGCTCAAATAACGTAGACGGTAAGGAACCAACTATGGAACTTTATTTGGGGTTTAATTAATTCAGCTACGCTAATTTAAGCAATCACTATATAAAATTATTAAGTACATTACATACACTATATATTTATAATTATATAATACTTCAGACGATCGTCGGCTCAAAGACAAATCGGCTAAACAAATTAGGTCTACAAATCAAATAGTATACATTTAGCAAATTATTTCAACTACCTTTTCAAACAAGCTCTCTATAATACTTGATAACACTCCCTGTTCTGTACAATTTTGTAGCATCTGTACAATGACGTCCGATCCTTCTTTTATGTTATCGGGTCGTAATGCCAGTTCATGCATTATATCATTGAAAACAGAAATAATATCGTCTGTACTGGAAGAATTACTAGCATCGTCTAATCTAAGACTTACTAATCGATGGAAATCTTCACATACGATATTCTGAAATTGTGTAATTGGCGATACATTCCTTTATTTATAAGTAGCGCATGTAAACTAAAACTGCTGTTTTGAACAAAAACCATATTAAAAGACTAACACACTTGAAATAAATCACGAAACAAAAAACCAGAAAAATAAAAATTTACATCTTTTTTTTTTTTGATTGAAAAAAGCATGTATAAACGGTTAAGCAGTAAAACAACTGGATCTAAATACTCATTGAGGATTCAATTTAAATCAATTGAATCCGACATCAACTCTACATTGCGTAAAACTATATGCTTGTTATCAATAGCATTGCCTGAAATAATTTGCATTATCTCATACAAGTTACCACACGGTGGTACTCGGTACAAACAATTCATCCTAGTAAGTTTAAGGGCATCTTTAAGTTATTTTGTTACACATTTCCAGTTAATATAATAACGTATTGGATTCCATCTGATAAAATTTCAAAACGTAAACGGGTTGTGCATACGTAAATTGTACCATTTTTTTCTGTTTATTTACAGTCTAGTCTAAATCAAATATTTGCGTTTCTTAAATTAAATATTATATAGCAGTATAACTGTACATACCTGAACATTTATATCACCCTGGACGTTTGACTTTCTCAACCTTGAAGGTACAGGAGTTGTACTTATAGCTTCAAAGTAAAAATAAAACAAATTAGAAAGAACAACAGCCTGAACGATGCTATGAAATAAAAATGGCTAAAATTGTGTACTTTTCCAAGTTATAATTTGTCATTTATCATGCGTATTTCGTAGAAAGGGCTTTCAAAACAAATAAGTCAAAGATAGACAGACAAAACCATGGCATAAGGTAACTATGGCAACAAGGGTTTCAGTAATGAGGTGACAGATATTATTGGAATATTTAAAATCAGAAGTCGTAAACAAACTGACAAACCCATGGCAAATATCGAAAGAGGACGAAAAGGCAAACAGTACACACAACAAAACAAAGAAAACTAGCACTGTGAAAGACGAATCCCACTAGAAACCGGTGGTGATCTCATGTGCCATAAGTGAGACCTAGCCAACTGTATATTGTATTATTCTAGCATAATTTATTTTCTATAATGACTTGATTCCAAAGAATTCAGAACCCCGTGTCTTCAGCTCTTCACTCGCGCTGATTGATTTAAAATCAGGACAGGGGTATCCATGACACGTCTGGTATAGGGTTTCATTCAAGTAGTTTTGCTAATAAAACAAATTAAGATGCAGAAAAAATATGTAATTTATACCCTTTGATCACAACATCGCAGCAACTACAATTCAAGTACCGCATTTATACATTACTCACATTTATGTAGGTTTATTCATCAATTCATATTAGCAAAATATTACAGAACGTTTTTGATTCTATAGTAAATCTCATAATTCTATGAACAATTCTATGGACTATATTCCTAATAAATCATAACATATTATTTTGCTTTTTCTCTAATTGTACGCACATCAATTTAAACAGATATTAACACATTTATTGAGAGATAATTTCTGTGTATTCACGTACCATTAACTGGTCTTCGTAGCTGTGTCGGACGTTGGGGACTTGTTATCATTTGTGGCGCCTTTATTGGGGCATAGAAATGTATCTGTCCCTATGTCATGGTAGGAAGTATATACCCGGATCCAGCTGAAGGGAACACCTGACTCATCATACTGAAAGAAGGCTGTCCCTAAAATAAAAATTGAGCGTTCCAAATATTTGATGATGCTAAAATAAACCTTTGATTTTTCATGCCAGCAGCAGGCTTTCCATTTAATCATAATCAAACAAATCAAGTATTCGACACTCAAGGAAGCATTTGATTCATCATACCGACCGCATGCTGATATATCTTGCTAAAAATAATGACAGTGGAATGTCACTACCTTATTAAGCAACTATATAAAATACTTAATGACGCTGATGGGAACATCTGATGCATCATACTGGCAGCAAGCTGTTCCTAAAATCATAGTCAACTATACTACATTTCAAATATTTGCTGGGTCTGATAGGAACATCTGATTCATCATAAGTGGCTTTCGTGTTTGAACTTTCACTTGTCTCTTAAATAAGAGTAAGCATGCAAAATAAAAGGTGACGCTGATGGGAACATTTACCTTATACCGACAGCAAACTGTCACTGAAACTATAATCTTGCATAACTTTGTTACTCTAACGGGAACTTTCCCTTAAATCATAAACTAGCATGTCACATATTCGGTGACACTAATGAGATGATCTGGCTTATCACAGAGGCAGCACACTGTTACTGTCCCTAAAATCATAATCCAACATGTCAGATATATGGTGACACTGATGGGAGTACTCGGCTTATTATATCGGCAGGATGACAATAAACTATCAAACAAGCATGACAAATATTAAGTGACCCTCATGAGAACATCTGACTCTTTATACTGGCAGCAGCCTATTCCTAAAATTGAAATCAAGCATGCTAGATATTTGGTGGGGCTGTTTAAAACATCTGATTAATCAAACCGACAGCAGACAGTCCATGAAATCAGAATCGAGCAGATCAAAGATTTGTTAACCTTGTTGGTAACAAACCGGTATATTATCCTTTAATGATAAAATTATAGATTAAGAATGGAGAGAATATACCGAGGAAACGAAATTTCTAGTACACGTGATTTTGACCCTCTTTTATATTACAATAAAGTTTATCATATTGTTCCAGGTGTTTTGTGTCCTAGCAGTCGGGAAAATAGGAATGCTTTGTGTGTTAGCATAAGTGATTTATTAGGCGTTGTCTTCATTTATTGAGTTTTATCAATAAAAGAAGATGTTGCATATATATAAATAAAACAGAAAAACAACGGAACAAACCAAAACAAATCCAAACAAATGTTAGGTCAATATACAGTCTTTAACAGTACCAAATTGTCCATACAAAATACCGTTATAAGCCTACATAGGTTATGATAATTTCTAACCCAAACTCACACAGAAATGCCTTATATACGAAATCCTAGAAATAACAAAAAAATTAACATGAAGAGAGTGTATATACCAAACACATGTTGCTTATAAAATTGGAAAGTTCATAATTTTGAAGACAAAATTATCTTTTTTGTTGTTAAGTTTTGTTCTCAAGCAACCCTCAGATATTATCCATGCAAACGTATTGATCCTTTAATTGATTTGATATTGAACTCATTTGAACTCTGGCGGATAGTTGTCAATACAATCATACCACATCTCCTTATGTTATACAAAGAAGTTAAGACCATTTCATACTACGTAAAATGCTTAAATATTCCTCATGTTTATATTGATGTTACATTACACCTGCCTTATGCTTTCGTTTCGAGAATAAATGAAGACCAGCATATATACGTGCTTAATTGTATTGCTATAAAGTACGAACACCTTTAGAATATTGATTATTTGACTATTACCTGTATTCATTTATGTTTTCGTATATTTTTCTTTTCCTTCTCTCAGAAAAGTTTGACGCTTTATTAGTAATTCCTTATTTGAGTTGGCATGCATTTACTCGAGACATTAAAAAACATTTGAATTTTAACACAGACAGTAGCTTGCTTAAACATAGCATAACCTATTCGCTCATAAAAGATTTAGATCACAACACGAATAATATTGATGGTACTAATTGTATTGCATTAGATCTATTGTTAAAGAGAGAAAACTGACATTTACTCTCAATTTATTTTTAAGCCAGTAAAAGTCAAATCAGTGGTGTACAAGGGGAAATTCAAGGTATGCATGTAATTTGAAAAACATTAGTTTCGTCCGACTTAATACATTAGTACATAAGTGTCTACGTTTGAGGTTCACCCCCTACCACAACTATTGCTAATTTTTCAGTCTTTTCCACTTAATGCATAAAGTTGCTGTGTGGGACGTTGAACACATTTTAAAGTTAAAAATTTGTTTACTCTAAACATTGTTAAAAATATTTAAAGTTTACCCGCATTTTGAGACTGGCAATACGCTGCATATACTGTGATGCCAAGTGAGCATTTCTATCTTCTTTACGTTGAGCTGGAGCCACATACAAAGGTTTGGCTACCACAATCCTACCATTCATTTTTGTGATAGCTTTGTTTGCCTCCTCTGGAGAACTAAAACACACAAAACCAAATCCATTGGATCTTCCACCTGTAGTCATTACCTGCAAGTAATATCGATATAAAAGATCAATATTAATACAACATATATGATTCCAAGAAAAGGCACATTGACAACAGGTAGCCATTTGCTATTTAGAATTTCAATAACATTTGTACAGTACAGGAATATATTTGACACCCACCCATAGTTGAGATGTTAACTTTCATGTGTCCCCTGTATGTTTTTTATGGATTAGCCCTTAACCTGTTCAATTTGTATACTTTGTGCATCGTACCAAAAGACTGGAGGAGACTTTTATAAAATAAAGTGCTCTTGAATTAACTCCAAGCTCCATTAAACATGGGAATAGTATGCTATTAGAATAAGAATTTCGGAGGGTTTTCTTTAATGTAGAACTCAACGAGTTATTACAAGACTTGCGAGGATTTTTAGATAGGTGTCAACGTCTTTTTACATTTAAGGAATATTTCCAAACGAACATCAGATACGTTTATCAGTTAGTATGAAATGAAGTAATTTATTATTTAGCTTGAGAATTACTCATCTAAGAGAGATGTCCAGGTTGTTAAATGATTTTAAGCGTTTTGAAAATTGTCAACGGTTAATGACCGCCAAAACCGGCTGTTTTTATGCCAACCAACTCGCCCCACTAACGAAGAGAGGTATTACGAAATATGTATCGCAATATTATGAGTTTGAATGTCCCTCTGGTATCATTCGCCCCTCTTTTAGGCCTGCTTACTCGCCTAACTTATGGAAAAGAGGTAAATGCAGACTAATTTAGGACATCAAACTCACCCTACTTGTGAAATGTAGTTCAATCCAGGTAAATAAAGGTATGTCTACTCACGCAACTGGTTAAAAGGAGTTTAATATACACAAATATAATGTTAACATATCAATAGATAAAAAGACACCTTTGATATAAATAAAAATAGGGAAAATTTAGCATTTAATTCCGATTGCAACATTGATTTGTGTGTAAAAAAAAACAATGCAAAAAATTAAAATCTGAAAGGTAGCTATAAAAAGCCTTGGCATAATAAAATTAAAAGAGAAAACCAATTTGTACAGATTTAGCTTATTCGTGTTAAAAACAAAAACAATCAATGAATAAAGGGTGCTGTTCCCAGTTGAAAAATGTATGTTATTGATACAGAGTATACGTACATGTATCTACATTAAAGTTTTTTTAACAGATTTTATCATATGTCGCCAACATTTTTGTCTTATTAGTTGTAATTGGCTTTGAACTAGATGTCAGTCAGCTGTACTATGTACCTTTGTTTTGGTTTTCAGGCATGCACAAATACCCTGTCACGTCCGGTCTGTGTTTAATTATATGTTTTCCTGCTGTGTATCGATCTAATGAGTTTAGCTCTTTTTAAATGATCTTTATTGTTTGTTTCATGTTGTACTGTTACACCACTGTATCGGGTTAGATGCGGATTGGCACCTTTAAACATATATCTTTGGATAATCTCTGTCATACATTTTTATTGTTTTTCGAAAATTGTTTTTTTATAAATAAGGATAGAAGTTTCCTCCATTGATATATTTCATATTGCAATAAGGAAATTATTTCCAAATTGCCAGTGATTAAAAACATGTCCAACACATGATTTTTATTATTCATGAAGTTTGCCTATATGTGCAGCTATTTTTTTCTAAATACACGATGTCACTTTTACTTGATACTCTTAGTCAAGAACAAATGCATTTTTTTGGTTAGATCTTAAATTGGACAATTAGAAATGGACAGTAATGGATTTGAAATATTTAATAACTTTGTTCAAGTACGTGGATGGAAAATTTATTGTAAACAGGGAACAAATGAAATGTTCATGCACTTCAGAAAGGTAAAATATCTAAAAATCAGACATTACCTAACAACAAAATTATTTTCATTTACCTGTGTTTAAAGTTATTGCAAATGGCTGATATTTTTGTTCGAGCATATTGTTTTTCTTTAATTGTTTAACATTTCATACCGATATAATATGTTACTTTTATTATTCTTCCCTTCGTTTATTTATTTTTAATTTACATTGTATCATAGGTCAAATTTATTTGTTCAGTGTATGTTCATTGGTGTTAATATGTCCTTTGATTGAGTTAAGCTATTTCAGTTGATATTTTATAGTGTGCCTTTCTATGTTGTGATGTTACACTATTGTTTCAGAAAAAGGGTGAAAGTTTGGTACCATTAAAACGTTTAAACCCGCTGCATTTGTTTGCACCTGTCCTAAGTCAGGAATCTGATGTTCAGTAGTTGTCGTTTGTTGATGTGGATCATAAGTGTTTCTCGTTTCTCGTTTTTTATATAGATTAGACCGTTGGTTTTCCCGTTTGAATGGTTTTACACTAGTAATTTTTGGGGCCCTTTATAGCTTACTGTTCGGTGTGAGCCAAGGCTCCGTGTTGAAGACCGTACTGTGACCTATGATAGTTTACTTTTATAAATTTTGATTTGGATGGAGAGTTGTCTCATTGGCACTCATACCACATCTTCTTATATCTATTAATTGTTTACGTGTTTGATATATTTAAAGATATTTTTCAGTTTAGTACTATTAGAGTATTGGTGTTTTTGGTCTTCTAAGCATGGCTTGTCTTTGCGTTCTAGTTTAGCAGATTAATCATTTTTTGACTGAACTATTTTTTAAATTTTCCTATTTTGAGTATCTTGGTCATTTAAGCTCCCTTTCTTGGATCCCTGGTGATCCACTGTAGGAAAACTAAAAATCTAAGTGAGCCCAATGACAAAAGAATATTTGTACTTATTGTAAATCACTGAACTGGTTTTCCTGGTGCATATGATAAGACGACCAGCCAAATACCAATACGAATGAAAGATCAACAAATATACGTGCTGCTAGAAAAATAGCTTTCCATTCGAATTCTTTTCAGATACCGAATAAAAAAAACAATTGGTAATTCTTAAACAGTGTATTATGGTTATAATTGAATTTCTAATTTGAATATAAACATGTCTCAAAGACATATATGTTCACAGTATGAAATATATATTAGGTTTTAACTATTCGATTACACGGTAAATAACAACATATTCTAAAGAGCTACAATTGACACTTTATACACATGAAGTTGAATGGTTACTGCACCTAAGAGTCAAGACTATTCAAACCCCCAATGTGAAATAAAATAACAACATGACTCTCTAATTTTGTATAATTCAAGTTATAAACTTTTATTAATTGAAGGGGTTAGCTCATATTTTGGATAACTTGTTTTTGTGGTGAAAATGTATTTGTCTGAAGAAAAGAATTATTGCAACAACATACAAAAGAACACAAATTGCTGAACAGACAGTCACAGGAAAAATGTGATATCAACTGGTTTTTTTTTACATTTTTACCTTTTATGTCTGTTTGTTATTTTCAAACATTGTTGTCAATATAATGAAATTTAATGCGACTGTCATACAAGTGAAAGGTTTAGCTAGCTATAAAACCAGGTTTAATCCACCATTTTATACATAAAGAAATTACTACACCAGGTCATGAATATGACAGATGTTTTCCATTCGTTTGATGCGTTTGAGCTTTTGATTTTTCCATTTGATAAGAGAATTTTCGTTTTTAAATTTTCCTCTGAGTTCGGTATTTTTGTTACTTTACTTTTTACAATCATTATTCTAAAATTGTTTTGATTTGATAATGTAGAGCCGTGAAGTTATTACTTTGACACATCTCAAATTTCGTATCATATCGATAATCAAATGACCCGACATTGTAATCAATACGATTGTCGAGTGTCAAGTACCATCATTATATCTTGTCCCAGACTAAACATTAACGAATGAAGATAAGGTACTTAACGTTTTGAATCAGTATCTTAAGAACTTAAGTACAAAAAGAGAAATAGTAGCAAGGTGACTTCTCTGGCATTTTCCTTGTAGAGTATACATCAAAAAGGGAACTTGTGTGCCCACTTCGTCAATTTGGCGAGTCGTGAATTTACTCTTTTTGATTATTTATTGATTGGTGCTTGCTTGTTGTTCACTGTTATGACCCATTTGTATATTGTTCCTACATACCTTAGCACTTGTGATGGTTCCAAACTGAGAAAATTCCTCAATTAGTCTTTCATCATCAATGCAGTCATCTAAATTCTTGACATACAGATTCACTCCTTTGTTTCGATTACTTCGCTCCATGAGAACTCATTCAAATTTATATTTCAGGTCTGCTTCTCTTAGTTGTCTCTCTATGTTGTCATAAGCTTACTAATTCAAAGCATATAGCTATATTTATATTCCTATTAAAAAGAAAAGAAAATGTACTTATTTGCGTATGCTAAGTCTTAAGTAATTATCTTTCATTAATAAATCATTATAACAATCACCCCGACAAATATTATTACATTTGATAAGGCACTTCTAGTGAACCAGAATTTGGAACAATTCAACTCCTTAAAAAAATGGTGTTGTCTTGAGACATTTGTGAACGAAAGAGTTGAATACAAATTTATTGATCTATTGAATATACGCTGAAGTGTATCTGTATCTTCTCCCTAGTTCTTTTATATTTTAAAACCCTCGTTGTATTCTATCTAAATTGATGACAAAGTCAAAGAGAATATTGTAGTTGTATCAGAACGAAAAGTTTTAGTTTGGTGTCAATCGCAAATAGACATTTCTAGAAACAGTACAATATAACTCAAAAGTGTATATCACGAGGAAATATTTGAAAATTTTTCGTTCAAATATAGGAAACATTAGTTTTCCTATTTTGATCTCATAAAACGATAAGTCAAATCAAAGTCACAAGCAAAAACTGAGATAATAGCATTGACCCCAAAATGAACAAGACCGTGTATCCCACCGGGCTAGATCATATATTGACTGTATTAGGAAATGCTACTTAAACATATTTAATGTGATCTCCTATAGTGTTCAATATTGAATTTTCAACCTGTTTAGATGGCAATGGCGGCCATGTTTGATGTTCCAAATTTTATGTGCCAATCAACACATTACAAACAATATTTCCATTAAGTTTCAATAATCTGGGTTTAAAAATTAACATTTCAAAATTTTGACAAAAAATAACATTTTTGAAGTATTCTTTGAATGTTTTTTGTTTTTGCATTTTTTCTGTTTCCTTTCTAACGGTGCCCATTAAAACAATTCCAGAGACAGACACAACATTCCAAAATGTTATCTAAATGAAGCCCAGAATCATTCCTAATCTCCTCATTACATAAATTTTTGAACAATTTCATGAACGAATGAAAATTCTCTTCCTTTCCAGCTTTTGATTGATCAATATTTGAAATTGAAACGATATTCCATAATGCTTTGTTGAGTTCAACACTTTTTATTTTCCTAAATCCTGCTGCATCGTTTTCATTTCAAATATAAACAACATGATGCATTGTCCATTTTTAAACAAGTGCTAGGTTAAAGCAAAACAATGACTTCTAATACATTTGTAAAAGTTGTCTCTTATACCAAAGGTCTACTCCCTTGGAGTTCGGTATTTTTGTTATTTATACTTTTGTTCTAAAACAACGATATGTGTTGCGTTCTTCAATATGTCACCTTTAAAATATACCAGAATGATAATTTTGTGAACGTTTTGCAAAAAGAACACTCACCAGTGACACTCAAATCAAAAAGTTCAAAACAAGTACAAAGTTGAAAAGAATTGAAGACCCAAAATTTCAAAAGGTTTTCCAAATACAACTATATCTGTTACAATCACACATGAACTATTGTTTTACTCAAATTGAGTTTCCAAAACTTTTTACAGTGATTCTTAATTAGTCTTGAGTCTTTTCCGGGAAGAATAATTTTAGGGACTGAATTTTCGGCTCTCTCTTGACACCATTTGCGAGTATGGTCTTGAGAAACGATGATAGTCCGTCGGAAGGGGACGATAAATGGCTGACCCGTGTTAAGAGAGAGCAATATCTCTTGCACGTAAAAGACACCCTTGTAAATTTCGAAAAAGAGCAGGCTAATGCCACTACAAGGCAGCACTCGCATCCGCAAAGTAGAAAGGGATTAATGTAAGTTGCAATTAATTGTTTCCCAATCCACTATAAATAAATATGTTTAAATCTAATCAGTCTTGCAATTCGGGATCTGTATTTACATTTTTCGCTTTGATTTCTTGCTTTTTTCGAGTCACTGTTGAGCTGTTTTGCTTTCCGATTTTGAATTCTTTCCTAGTTTTGGTGAAAATTCATGTTGCTCATTCTTGAATTTCTCTTCTAAAACTTTCATTTCTGTTATTTTCTTTACTCTTTTGGTTATTTGGGGGGAAGGGAAGGGGTATTTTACCCTTTAATGCATTTTATTGTCTGTCCTTCCTTTACTTATTTTTGCGTGGTTACATGTGTATCTTATCAACTGTTTTCTCATCGATCACTGTATTTGGTTAAATTGATAAAATTAGATTACGCTGTACAGTATTTAAACAAATTGACAAATAAAATATTTATTGCGTATGTTTGATTTCTACATTATTGTGTGAGAATTAGCAAGCGTCACTTGAAAATATATTCACTATACCTGAACTTCTTTAGGTAAGACCTAAAAACAACAATTTACAGCTTTATGTCATAAAAAAGAAGCGTTGGTCAAATTAACCAAATATTATATATGTGCCTGTTCCAAGTCAGGCGCTACCATATAGTGGTTTTCCTTGGTCAGGATCTACAATAAGGTTGGGGTTTTTTTTTTCCTTTATTGTTTTGAACATAAATCAGACTGTTGAGTTTTCGTTTTAATTGACTTTCGTGTGGTATGGTGGCCAATGAGCCAACTCTCCACCAGATATCATATGACAAAGACGTTAACAATGAAAGGTCACCGTACGGCCTTCAACAATAAGCAAAACCAATACCGCATAGAATGCTATAAAATACCCAGAATTGACAAAATGGTAGGTAAAATTCGTAAACTTGACAGAATTAATGAATGAATGAATAAATAGTGCTAACCTCAATGCTCAAAACTGGCACTACACAAGGAAATATTATTATACAAACCTTATTACCAGGTAGTAAAAACTTAATAAACGTTTTTCTTGTTTCCGAATCTCTATGTTTCTATTGTTCATTCAAATAATTCATCATCTGCATGATCAGTACACTTAAAAATATGTTTAAACCTAATCCATTTGTAATCTTATCTGAATACGTTATGATTATCTACGATTATAATCAAACATAGTGTGAACAAGCACAGTAAATATTATTTTAAACCAGCTATATATAGAGTGTTGCTAATGCAGAATGTGTCATTATACAGCAAAGAAAACCTGTAAATACAAATCCTAATAACTTCGTTGTCCATTAAATGCAACACAGTTGCATATTTCCATAATAAATCTAATATTTACTAGGATAAACATCCGTTCTTTTTATTAATTTTCAATGCTATAAAAGTTGTTATTAAATGAGAAATAATGATATGCATACATATCAACTAATTCAAACCCTTGAAAATATTATAAATATTTAACACTATAGGGTAGAGAAGACAATGTTAATAGGAAGAATCAGGATTAGGAAAAATTTAAATCGTTGACAAAACAATTCTGGGGTCTGTAAATATTTCAAAATGACGAAGTTGTCAATAATGTTAAATTGAATATGCAACACGCAGTATCGGCTTTCGTGCAGGTGTCGTGTAATAATTTTATGGTTTTACGAGGTCCTAAAACACTTCCGTACTCAATACATATTGTGAAGTCGGCTGTATAGATTGGTTGTAATGTTTATAGACATTGCAAATCGCAGGCTATTCAACTGATTATTAAGGACTTCCACAAAAGAGAACAAAAGTAGTTGTTTTACGTAGAATTCTTTACGAACAGATTAAAGGTATCAGTTAATGCAATACTTTGTACAAATATGTGCCGAAAACAATAACATAATTACTTCAAAGAGAAACTACACCTGCCATTCCATATGATTACACTTTCATTCTGATTTTTCATTTTTGCTTATAAACTTTGTCTATAGAGTGTCTTTATGCTATTTTGTTTTTCTTTGTTTTAATAGTTGTTGGTTTTTATAGAAATTAAGTTTATAAAACAATGAGGTCTGCTGTACCCAAATTATTGACATTTTTACCTATTTTGTCTGTTTGTTTGCTCAAACATTGTTGTCAATATAACGGAATGCTACGTGACTGTTATACTAGTGAGCTATAAAACCACGTTTAATCCACCATTTGTCTACACAAGGAAATGCCTGTTCCAAGTCAGGAATATGACAGTTGTTTTCCATTCGTTTGATAGGTTTAATGTTTTGATTTTGCTATTTGACTAGGGACTTTCCGTTTTAAATTTTTCTAGTTAAATTTAGTTTTTAACCTTTTTGAAATATTCGAATATACCAACTTAGTGATTTTATGTTTAAAGATAAGAACAAATATATAACAATATTCACATAAATATCTTCATAAATGATCCTACTTCATGTGATCTGCTGTGGACCTTGTTATATAGAAAATCAAAATATTTATCAATTCCATGGAAATAATAGATAGAAGGCCGAACGAGACGACGCCAATTATTTCCCGGGAATTAGCAGTTATTTGGGTTGTTTCTTACTTAAAATTCACTTAACATATTGAAAAAAGAATCTTCAGAGTATATACCTTAAAGACATTTACTTAATTTTGTAATGGTTTTCCGTTCATATTCCCGATTGGTGTACCTAATAATCAGTATGCAGAATTCTAAGATCAAGCTGACCATCTATTCACTAAACGGTGTATTTTTAGCATGCGCACTATACAAAAATATTGAATAAAGTTGAATCCAGATTGATCTTTTAAGTCATTGGATACGCACATCATTCTTGCAGTGGGATTAAAAGGATTTTTTTTGTGTCTGTTAGTGTCTTCCAGAAGAAAAATAACTATTTAACGTTATAGATTGTGTTTGTTTTTCGTTTGATTAATAGTAAATCGTATAAAAAAATGAATAATTCGAACATTTGAGTTATACCGAATATGTTATTTTGGCCATAGTTTCCGTCGAAAATTAATTATAAACCGCACCGTATAGTTAACAGAAGCCTGATGTAGGTATCCATAAAAGTCTATACCGTAGTACTTTATTCAAATAATAACAATTCAAACATTTGATTTATACCAAATATGGTATTTTAATTATAATTTTAGTTTCTTGGGCTTTTTAATCAAACCATGATATTATAATAGATACTATCAATTAATGATAAAAAGTACTAATATTGCTGTATCATGTACACCCAACGAGTAACTCTTCTGTTTTTACTTTATATATTAGAAAGCAATAAACGTTTTTGCCGTAAAATATCAAGCTCAAACATGAAATATTTCAAGGAGATGCATTTTAACTTCAAAGGTTAAATTTAAAACTTTGAAAACTTAACGCCAGATATTTTTGTTTTAATAATTCAATCTTGAAAACAATTAAGGTGTTTAAAATTGCAAAAGAATTCGACTGAGTAAACACAGTGAATGTTTTGAAGATACACAGAAGAGATATGGCAAGCAGTGGACGATATTAAATTTCACCTGCTTGGATAGTATATGTGACAGAAATTTAGCCAAGAAATATAGCAGAAACAAATGCGGATAGTTTTGTTGAATTTTAGTAAATACGAAACATACTTTATTTTTATTCAATGGAATAACCACTTAAATAAGATTTGATTGTTTATAATGAGATACTTGGTGGTCATTGTATACCTACGTTGCTGTTCAATCTGGACGATTCAACCTAAAACAAATACAGAATCAGCCGTTTTAATCTTTATTTGATATTGCCTTACGTCCTATAGTTAAGGTACCAGAAATGTTTCCATGGGATAACACTTTGTAAGAAAGTGACCTTGGAAATATCCAAAGGGCATTACGTCCAGATGAATAAATGTGAAAAATAGAAAAATATGGAGCTTTTAAAGAAGAAATTTACGACGGATGTGTATTATAGAGCGTTCTTACGTGTTATTTTAATTCTACTTAATTCCCTTGAATATAAAATGCTTTCTGACTACCAGTATATTTTATTTGGATAACACATACAATTATAGTAACATAATAAAATTGAGAATGGAAATGAGGAATTTGTCAAAGAGACAACAACCCGACCATAGAACAGACAACAGCAGACGGTCACCAACAGGTCTTCAATGCAGCGAGAAATTCCCGCACCCGGAGGCGTCCTTCAGCTGGCCCCTAAACAAATATATATATACTAGTTCAGTGATAATGAACGCCATACTAAACTCCAAATTGTACACAAGAAACTAAAATTAAAAATAATACAAGACTAACAAAGGCTAGAGGCTCCTGACTTGGGACAGGCGCAAAAATGCGGCGGGGTTAAACATGTTTATGAGATCTCAACCCTCCCCCTAAACCTCTAGCCAATGTAGAAAAGTAAACGCATAACAATACGCACATTAAAATTCAGTTCAAGAGAAGTCCGAGTCTGATGTCAGAAAATGTAACCAAAGAAAATAAACAAAATGACAATAATACATAAATAACAACAGACTACTAGCAGTTAACTGACATGCCAGCTCCAGACTTCAATTAACATACACATATTGATAATCAAATTATATCAGTGTCATTTTCCTTACGTATTTACATCAGTTATATTTCTAGCTTAGAAAAATATACACTTTTTTCAAGCAAAATACAAAGGTCTACTTTCTTTAATCTTTTTCCTACAAATTGGACACTGTTTCACTTTTAACTTGTCGCTACAGTTCTTGCAGCAGCACACATGCATACATGGCAAAAATGTTACTTCCACTGGATTATCAAAACATATTTTACAAAGATATTTGTCATCCATATTGTTCCCTGATTTTTTATTATCTTTTCCAACGCTCTCATTTTCTGAAAATGTATAAAAAGAATAATTAAATCTTAGATGTCTAAATTAATTGTCAAACCTCATCGGTATGTATAACATACTTAAATTTGATCCTGCTAATCTAGTTGTAGGTAACATTTGCAATGATTTGCTAAATTATGAATTATTTACATTATAAAGATTAGAAGTAAGATTGATTTATAGAGATACCATCATATGGAATAATGAAATACTAAACTCCGAGGAAAATTCAAAACGGAAGTCACTGGCAAGGTTTCTTGTACATTCAAAGACATTCTAATGTAAACATTATTTAGTTGTAAAGTGTGTCTGTAACTTAGACCATTATCATTGAATTCTACATGTATCTTTGATTTTCAAAATTATCAAAAGGGTTTACTATTTCGGTATTTAAGATGATAATTGACCACATATAATTGGCCCCGATGTTAACTGTAATGATCAAACTTGCATTTAGGCATGCAACTTATGTTTGGAACTTTATAATATATATTTATATGTATATAAATGTATACGTTTCACACTACGTTCTGCTATTCCTTTTATACTTGTGCCGTTCAAATTATGTATAAAAATTAGTATCAATATTATTTTATTTTATTTTAAGGTATGGCTTTTTATCTAAATGAGAAAATCCAAAGAAAGATTCAAAACATTAAATATTTTGATTAATAAGTAAATAAACTCATCATAGATACCAGGATTAAATTTTGTATTTACGCCAGACGCGCGTTTCGTCTACAAAAGACTCATCAGTGACGCTCGAATCCAAAAAAGTTAAAAGGCCAAATAAAGTACAAAGTTGAAGAGCATTGAGGACCAAAATTCTTAAAAGTTTTGCTAAATACAGCTAAGGTAATCTATTCATGAGGTAGAAAAGCCTTAGTATTTCAAAAATTCAAATGTTGTGTAAACAGTTAATTTACAAATATGACAATATCAATGATAATTCATGTCAGCACAGAAGTGCGGACTACTAGGCTGGTGGGGAATTAAAACTCCACCAGCAGTGGCATCGACCCAGTGGTTGTAAATAAACTCATCATAAAAACAGCTCAATTGATACTTTAACTTTAACTTATTTTTTTCTACCAAGAAGTAATGCAGTTATTCCAATTTGTTCACTTTAGTTTCTGAAAGAATATTAAAAGAGGACACTTATATGATTTATAATTTTGTATATTTTTTTAAATCGATTTATATTCAAGTGTGATTGATGATAAATACGTAGAAAGTAAGATTTTATATTTTTATTAGCAAACACATTGCAAGATATAAACAACTTTAGGCAAAATATAAAATACAACGCATGAAATAATAGTACATGTTTTCTTATAAATGGTATACTCAAATGATATCTTGATTTTATCTGTTTATTGTTAATCTGCATCTATATTTAACGGGAAAAGACAGACAAAAGGGACATTCAACTGCACAAGTCGACAATGAACTGAACAACAATACACAAAACACAATATAGAGAACTTAAACTGAGCAGATCGAACACCAAAAAAAGGGTTCTTTATGTAAATACAAATTGATCTATATGTTATATATCAATATGTAGATATAGCATGTCCACATATATGTCTGGCAAATATTGATTGAAACTTATATAAGTCCTCAATAGTTGTTTTGCCTATTTATCATAATAATTTCTGGCTATATGCATCTGAATAATATATATAGCGCCTATCAAATTTTGTAACTATGCCATTAGATCCGATATACTTTTTTCTTTTTTTATGATTAATTAGTAGTTGTGTGTAAAATTGGAATATTGTATGAATTTACATGTATTTCAACCATACACCCATTCAATATCATATAACCAAACTATCTACGAAGAGTGTATAAATTATCGACATATTGTCCCTAAAACAATTTTCTGAAAAAAAAGAAAAGAAACATTCAAATGTCAAATAGTTTGATGCTGAAAAAAGCGTGGTGTCTTTTATTATTTATAATATGTATCATTTTATAAACTACGTTTAACATTCTTCATGTACTGAGATATATGATTTTACCGTTTGTATGAGTATGAAATAGTATTCTGCTTTTCTTAACCAAAATCCATTGTTTTTTAGATAATAAAAGCAAACAAACAATAAGATCAACAGTAATGATAAACGATTAGCAAAACATGTTTCTATAATGATGTACATTGATATAGGTACGCAAGTATTTATTACATTGTTCAGTCGTTTCTTCAGTCATTTTTTGCATGTTTTGTGTAATTTCTGAACATTTTGAGGTTCGTAATCGCAATAAATGCTTGTTTGATATCGTATGCCAAATATATAAACGACAAATGCAAAATCACGTGCAAAAAGTGGCGGAAGTAAAACAAAACAAAACATAACAGAATCAAAAGGATGTTCCAAAAGATCAAAGTTTGCACGTTCACTGACCGAATCGGATTCTTCACTCAAATGTATTTCAAACTCTGAAATGTCCTAACATGTAGAAAGCTATAAAGCTTCTTGGGTTTGGGATTTTCTTGAAGTTGATGATTAGTTATTGCTTGTTGATACTATCGTTATTTTGTTTTTAAAAAAGCAAACGTTATATATCGGCGAACAGGGCAGAAAAAATGTACCATCGGGAAGATTTTGTAATTCTTTTCTAGATTACGAGAAATATGTTTTTTTTTTCTTTCATGTTTTGGCTATTTCACAGTTATGTCATTATGTGATCGGTGTTTCACTACATTCTCTTTATTTTCAATTTATTTCAGGCTATAGTATTTCAAAAAGAATATGAAAAAAGATTACATTGCAAATTTGACGTTTTAACCTTATGCCTACAGAAAATCGAGTGTAGATGAAATATTTACCATTGATCTCCAATGTTATGGATTCAATAGAACTTTCCACTTCATCATCCGCTTGCTGCAAAAGAATTATCAAAAAAGTATTTGGTCATTTCTGTTCTTCTGTATACGTATCAATACAGTGAACAGCAATCTGTATGAGCAATAAAATGATTTATTTGTGGATATTGCTTTAGTAAATCTTTTGTATATGAATCAACATTTTCGTTTCAAAAATCGTATGTAGTTATGACTCCCATGATATAAACATTCAATGTGGCATCGACTGCACTAGTTTTGTTATAAGGATATTTAACATTAATAACTATAAACTTATATAGTATTTGCAGTTTATTGAGCAACTAGCATTATGGTACAATGTTGACCTCTTTTGGTTTTACCTTAAATAGTCCTAGATGAATGCCTTCCTGAATTATTGGAGTAAGAGCATTTATGACACATGCCCAAAAAGGAGAATGTCACTTTCAACTTTCAAAAGAATCGGATAATAAATCTTTTTTTTCTTGATTCCAGCGTCATTGATGAGACTTTTGAGGAATAAACGTACGTCTGCCGTACAAAACTTTCAATCCTGGTATATATCATGAGTTCATTAAATTATGTTAAACCCTCGTTATCAACCTTTTTTGACATATTTCGTGATTTGCCTCAATCTACGTGCTGTCATGGTATCGTTGATAAATTAGAAAATAAGGAATCCAAATCTATCAGATATAGTTAACAATTGTACATTTTTTCTATTTTTTTCCTTGTCCTTTTGGTCATTAAGCTTCTTACACTTTCATGTAGATTCACCACATTCCTTGCACCTGTTTTGTGTTGTTTGATGGCGCGTTCCTGCTGAAATTAAATCCAGGGAAGCACTTCGGACGAACGAAAGAAGTTGAATTTGATTTTCATTAAACCTTTACATGTGAAGTTAATAACTGGGCATTTGTTTATTAATTCTATATATTTTAGATAGTTTACATAACCGTTTACTTGTCTCCGTCAATTGTATTTTTAAAACAGCTGCGAATGCCCCAGTTTGCACTAACCTCGTTTTGAGTAACAGGGTGAGTTGAACGAGACTGTGTAGAATCTCTTCTGTCCCAATTACGGGACTTAAGTTTAAGCAACGTTGTTATTGAACACTTCGTTGTCCTGGAAAAAAGAACTTTTTCAAATGAATACTCCTTTATTTTAAAACAAATCAATACATACATGGAAACTTAGGTCGCACGCACGTAGTATGTCAGATTTGCAGTGTACAGTTAGTTCTTTCTTTTGATCCTACGTAAGTTATCAAAATCATTCAATCGGAAACTTGATATGAAGTATATTAAGTTTTCACTTAAAATGGTATTAGTTTCAATTTTTTTATCTTTGAGCAGGTTTTATCAGTCTCAATTATGAAGTGTCGTTTGGCTACATTTGTAGTGTCTATATTGATGCATATATTATAACGAATAGTGCTTGCTTGATATACATAAAAAGATTCGTAATATTCATCTTATTTCCGAGGTATGATGTTTATATATCATCCATCTTTATTTAAATAATATGATACGAATTGTAATATAGTAAGAAACTGATTGATATGTTATTTTATTATATGACTAAGAAATTTCTGTTTTCTCATTGGCTAAAAGCATAGGAAATCATCACTGATAAAACGTTATATTCACCGCGCCAAGAATCCAAGAGGTTAATATAAGAGTTGGAACAGCGTCCGTGTACCTAAATATAGATTTTCCACGGCAACGTCAATGACGTAGGTTCAGGACGTCAAGTAAATTCCCGTTTTTTTTTATTTTCCTTTTCTTCTTGTTTTCGGTGTATTTTCTCTTTTCTTCTTTTTTTGCGTATTTGTTTTTTGTTTACTTTATTGAATATTTTTACTTAGCAACTGCAAAAGCATATGATATATTTGATATAAAACCAGGGAGCAGTTTTAAAAGTATCTTGAGCAAATACTCGAAAACTGGAGAAGGATAAAAAGTCATATAATAAAACAATTCTTAACTTTTGATTTCAGTTGATACAATGATTTATCAACGCCAGAGATATGACATTCACACTCGGTCGTTGGCCTCGGTGAAAATCACATCTCTGGGGTTGATAAATCATTGTATCAACCTCATCAAAAGTCAATAATTGTATATTATCACATACTTAGAGTAAATAACTTATAATTTTTACAGTATGACAATAGCATGAAATTTACGTGAATTCCATATTTTCCGAAATGGGGCTTAACGGGCTGATATGAAACATTTATCACATGCTACCAAAGGAGGGGCAAAAGATACCAGAGGGATTTTCAAACTCAAGATCAAAAGTAAACTGACAACGCCATGGCTAGTAGTGTGGCCCATCATATAGGGTAACCATTTCGGAATGTTCACCGTCAAAATAATGATAAGATATGCCAGGAATAACAGCACCGAGAGTAAGTCTAATCAGAGAGATCTCAATGTAACCTTCATAACGATTTTGACTATTATGTTTATTTTTCTTTCTTGGTGATCGTCCAAAAGGAGCCTCTTATCCATCATGCCGCCCTTTGTATGCGATTTATAATTATCATTTTACAAATTTATAATATTGCAAAAAACATCATACCTTTTTCGAAAGATTAATCTTGTACATTATTTTTTCACCTTCTCTTTGGTTCATAAAGAGAATCATTCTTTTTTTATTTATATTTTTGTCATCCCGTAATAAAACTTTTTAAGTATTCAAATTAAACATAATGTTGAACAAAATTCATTTTGCTGTCTTTGACATAATTTCGAAACTTACTCTTCTAAACGATCATGTTCTTTCAACTGGCTGAGCAGTGAGAACACTTCATTGAAATTTCCCTCCGCAGGTTCATTTAAATGAGCTGTTTCTTCTATCACAGCTCCTGCTCTCTGTAAATCATTATGAACTTTTAAACAAAATGAAAATAAACATTTTGTAAATAGTATCCGAGGCGCATTTCCGGATTTACCGCCATCACTTATTCAGAGTCAAGTATGCATAAGTACCGACACAAGGAAAGACTTTTATGACGAAAAAGGTTAAATCACAAAAATACTGAACTCCGAGGAAATTCAAAACAGAAAGTCCCTAATCAAATGGCAAAATCAAAAGCTCAAACACATCAAACGAATGGACAACAACTGTCATATTCCTGATTTGGTACAGGCATTTTCTTATGTAGAAAATGGTGGATTGAACCTGGTTTTATAGCGCTAAACCTCTCACTTGTATGACAGTCGCATCAAATTTCATTATATTTACAACGATGCGTAAATAAAACAAACAGAAAAGATACATAAAAATAATAGGCAAATCAATATGAGGTAAGGGATTCTATTCTATTGAATTTCAAAAATAATTTCTTCTGAAAGTAAATTTAGCAGTACCTAGAGATGCTTAAATTAATTTTAACACTAAACAAATGGTTTGATTTAAAGGAAATGTGTTTCTTTGTCTTTATCATTTCCATTGATTTGAATTGAATTGCCATGATTTAAGATTTTTGTATGTCCGTTTGGTTGATTTAATACTACAGGTACTTTGGAAAGATATTTAATCTTTGTAAGATGACTGTGTCATTTTCATTCTGTGTTGTCCTGATTTTACTCCTATATAGTTTGTTCCTGAACTTACAAGACATTCAACAAACATTGGTTTCCTATACCTAAATATAAACTTGATTAAACAGACAAATGGAATGATATTAATTGCACGATAAGACCGTGTTTGTAGATTGTGAAACCCATTTCTAATCATGGTCATTGCGCATATTTCCAAAGAATACCTTAAACACGATAGTATGGAATCATTGCATTTAGAATGAATCTTACTTAATAGTCATAATGAGTCAAATATTTCTCAACCGGTCAAGTTATCAAGTAATAAAAACCTTCAATATTTTTGTAGCACATGTTACACTATCATTTGTTGCATGTTTCAGTAGGACTAGCAGTACATCTATTATCATAAATCGTAAGACAGGTATTCGTTGTACAACTACTCCAGTAGTATCCTACAATATGAATCGAAATCGTTAACAATAACTTCTTAATAATATAAATATAAATGTCCAAATTTTGTGAACAAATTTAAAACGTTGATTAAAGAAATACATCAAATATTTACGACATTATATTTGTATTACAATACCATAGAAAACGACATATTGCCTGATTATTCAAAGGTCTTTAGCACTGTTTAGTGTTTTCTTGTAGTTTTAACCTTGCGATTAGCTGAAGCAAAACCTGTTTGCGATGATTTTAGATCGTGTTTATTTTTTTTTTGTCCATCATTCAAAAACTCCTTGGATATCAAACTAACGCAGCAGGATATATTCAACTTGAACTAGAAATGATCGCAAATTGAGTTAACCAGATTGTATACATAATATGGGCGTAACGCTGAACAGCCAATTCAGTGTATGAACGCGTTTGCACTAAAAGTTGATATACTGTGACTACTTTGGTTGACGATAGCGGTCGTCATATTAGAATAAGGAATGTTCTTTTAAGTTTCATTATGAAGTGTCTTAGAATATAGAAATAGTAAATGCATTATATATTAACTTATATCATTACTCATTACTTTATTTCACTCTGCACGACTTACTGTTCACTCGTACGTAAATATTTACTAGTCGGTTGGATTTCTTTATTTTATTTGAATCTGTAATGCGGTAAAAAAATAATTTAATGTAATGCTATTTTCAGTTTTGAATAATTTCATATCATCATTTTGTAATATTTGTTATCATATACTATACATAAAAGACATGTTACTGTGTTCGTTAAGGATGTACACCTCTGAGGAGCCAAACATTTCTGGAATCATTTTTTTTCTTAACCTGATTTTTGGGTTTATGTGACTGTAAAAAAATAATTGATGAAGAAAAAATCTTATGGTGGTGCACTTCTTTTTATGCTACGGCCCTTTGAAAGTACACAATTTTGATGATTTTTCCATTTTTCATCAATTTTAACCTATGTTTGGGCTATTATCGTGAAAAAAATCACAGTTCCACAATTAAACTTTTTTTCATACTTTCAATAAAGATGAAGTGGAGCAATCTGAATAAATTTAACTAAAAAAAACTATAGGTAGGTGTTAATATGAGAAAGTTTTATCATATTTTGATGCTTTTTTGTGTCAAATTTACCATGCTGTCAATTTTGTAAATTTGTGATTTTTCTCAGTTTTAAATACAAAACTCATATTATTTCAACTTTTTTGTTATAAATGTTTGAAAAAATACATATCTAAGAAATTTGAAAAGAAAAAAATGATATGGAATGTACATGATTCTGGTAAAATCATTTTTTGTACCCCTCAACCATTTTCTCAAAATTTTGGCTAAAAAGACTGACTTGGTTGGTCGTAAAATTTGAAAAATTGATTACTCAAAAACTACTCATTGTAAATACACAATTTTTTCACAGAGTTAAGTTTAATTATGACATTTTTAAAATTCATTGATTTTTTCCACTTGTATCACATATTTTGGAAATAATTCCAGAACGAGATTTCAACGAGACTGAAACGTCAGAAGAATACATCCTTAATTAGACAAATACACATATTAAGGTAAACGCAGTGACTTAAACGAAAGACAAGTGTATATTCAAGTTTGAAATAGGCCAAATCAGAAAATTCTTTGGAATGATAGATTCATCTCCGAAAGAACAGTTATGTTACAAAGAATGGAATAGAGGATTAATAAACTTCTTTCCGTCAAGAAATAGATAACAAAACAACACTATCTTACCTCGTTAGAAAAAAGTTTCTGAAGTTGGCAAAAGCCGGTACGGTCCTAAGTTTATAAGATAAGTATTTTACAATAGTTGCTCCAGTACATTGAAAACTTGGTTCAGTTATGGACTGCACACATACAAAATGAATACAAACAGTGTATTATACATCAGTTAAATATAAGTCAAATCCACATAATCAATGTTTGACTATCATCGTATAGTAATAGTCTCAAACAACAGATATATTTCTGAAGCATAGCCCTAAATTGTGAAAAAAAAATTGTGTGTCTAAAAGTTTGATAGTCTACCTTTATATCATTATAAAACAAAATCTACATGTCCAGCGCAACTTTGATCATTTATATAATTTTCAGCGAAAGGTGAAGTCGGTGAAAATCTACTGTCTAATAATATTTTTGTGGTCATGGGCTGGTCCATATATTAATTGTGACAAAATTCTTACATGATGTGGTCTCATATTGTTTATTGTCTACGACCGGCAGACTATGAAAATAATAGATTGAATTTCAATGAACTTGATAGTGTTACTTTTATCAATGAGTTGGTTTTGACAGTAAAATAATTGATCTAATGAAACATTCAACTAACCAAAATTTGTTTTAACTTTATACATATTTTACCCTTTCTTGAAAATTGTGTCAGTTATCTACCTTTTCAAACAAAGTTTCCACAACATGCAAAATACTTGATAAAACTTGGTCACCAGAGCAATTTTGTAGTATCTGTGCAATTAAGTCCGTGGTTTCCTCTAAGTTGCCTGGCCGTAATGTTGTCTCGTATATGATGTCATTAAAAGCGGAAATGCTATCGTTATTAGCACTGTCTGGTCTAACATCTGCTGATCGCTGCGAATCTTGTGATAGGTTATTCTGAAATTACGTAGATAGTCAATATGTGTTTTCTAATTTTTTGAATATATATTTTTGGTTCTCAGTAGCAAATTAGAACTGAAACAACTATATGTGTAGATCAGATAAAATTGAGAATGAAATGGGGAATGTGTCAAAGAGACAACAACCCGACCAAACAGCAGACACCCAACCGACGGCCAACAATGGGTCTTCAACACAGCGAGAAAATCCCGCAACCGGAGGCGGGCTTCAGCTGGCCCCTACACAAAATGTGTACTAGTTCAATGAAAATGGACGTCACACTAAACTCCAAAACATATAAATGAACTAAAACTATAAAACATACAAGACTAACAAAGGTCAAAGGCTCCTGACTTGGGACAGGCGCAAAATTGGGGCGGGGTTGAACATGTTTTGTGAGATCTCAACCCTCCCCTATACCTCTAGTCAATGTAGAGTATATCTTAAGATATACTGACCAATAGCTATAAATGTGAATGAAAGGCGATAAGAAGTTTACATGGCTAAAAGCAATAACGGTAATAATATCTCTATCAGGAAGGCTAAAAGCAAACACAAAAATTATGACCAAAGATAGATAAGTACCACATGTTGATATCTTTCTAACCACAACATACCTAAAAATAATTCATAATAATGTCAACTTTACATATTCAGATACTTCACATGCTCTCTATCAAATTTGTTCAGACTCAATCGTAGTAGTTGATAGCTCTATTCTCCCCAACTGATAAACAATGAATATCATTTTGCATTAAAAAAAATGAAAATGAAAAAAAAAAACACGAATGAAAAAAACCAATGAGTGGAAAAGATCAATTATCAATTATCTCAATCACAAATCAAAAGATGTAGAATAAACTTTAGGTCAGTAAATAACCAGCAGAGCAAATATTTATATTGTCTATTGAAGTCCTCCCCGTCTTTTATCAGATACGATGTATTATAAAGGTTTAATTGTATTAATGTGTGTGTGTATGACATTGGTAAATAATTCGATTATTTTCTACAGCTAGGTCTACTTCAATCTTTGTTTATTTGTATGGAACTTGTATCTACCTGAAAATCCGAATCACCTCGCACGTTAGCCTGCAAAAGCGTAGGAATTATTTGATGGGTCATCAACGGATATTGTCCTGTGAAAAGAGAAAAATTACTAAATGCTTATAGAAATCTACGAAATCAAACTGGCGAGATATGTACATTTTCTTGCGGTATTATTGGTTTCAAAATTTTATATTCATAAGGATACTGGTTCAAAAACAAATTAAGAATCAAGATACTAACTAAAACAAGTAATTTATGAAGAAAATATATTTGAAATATATTATTTAGACAGAGAAACATGCCATGATTATCAGTTAATTTTACTTTGAAAGTGCACAAATCATGTAATTGAACTCTAGGAAGAGAGGTAAACGATATCAAAGAAACATTCAAACTCATAAGTTGAAAAAAGATGACAAAGTAATGCAAAAAATGATAAAAACCAAAATACAACAATAATACACAAAACACAACACCGAAAACTAAATACTGGGAAACACAAACCCCACCAAACACTGGGGTGATCTAAAGTGCTCCGGAAGGGTAAGCAGATTCTCCTCCATATGTGGCAACCGTCGGTTTGCTTATGTTAGTACAAATTAGGTGATAATTCTAATTCCGTAGGTCACAGTCGGGGAAAAGAGGACGGGATTGTGGTTACGACAATTAAATAATATATCCGTCGTCATCTGTGAAACTGATATTTCATAATGGTCAACCAAATCGTGATGGCGTCCGTAAAATTTACGAAGGGATGAAATGAAAGAAAACTTGTATTTAAATTGAAATTTATAAAAAAATTCCTCAAGATTGTATTATTCTCTTGGTTACCTTTGACATTGATATCTACAGAGAAGGTACTTATATACCACTTGATGTGCAAGGATAACATTAAAATGTGACTACATTCGGATATCCAAATATTAGTGAAATTAGAATAAATTAGTAAAACCCAAGACAACCTACCTTTATGAAACATGGATTTATAATACCAGCCACCGTTTTAAAAGACACCAGACAGTTACACAAGTAATAGATCAACATACTGTGGATTAATTTATTTTCGTGAGTATAAATTTTCGTGGATTGAGGAAAATTTTGCATATTCGTTGGTATTTGATTTCGTGGTTTGGCCAATCTGTGCATACCAAGGCTATAGTAATTCGTTGAACATTTAAATTATTGGTTCACCTGTACCCACGAAACCCACGAAAATTGGTATCCAACGAATAATAATGAATCCACAGTAGAAAAAAACTATTTAGTACGGCTCGAATCAGCCTCACTTTTACATTGTAAGTTAGCAAAACAATAATCCCTCATTGCAGCTTGGAACGCAAATAAAATTTAGGCTGACATATATATCAAGAGAGGAAATGGTATACAATCAATCAGTCAAGTTACGGTCAGAGGTCGAATGTATTTATGTTAGCACACACTTGTTGGATTGAGACGATCGTACACATACAGTGTATTCAGAGATTATAATTAGATTTGTGTAACAGAAAATACATCATTAACGTTTCATCCCTACTTGTCTTGATGGTAATTTGGTTTTCTTATCGTTCTAGAAATAGAAAAAAACCAATGTTCAAATGCTACTATTGTGAAACAAAGACTGATCAATCGTTTGTTTTACTTGATCCCCCAGCAGTAAAGCACTATGATAATTTTACGTGTCCTTCAACAAATAGAAGTGCCTAAATATAAAAAAAATATTGGGTTTTTTTCTAATTTTTTTGCTGCTGTCCCTTAGTTTTCATACATCTAGTTTTAAAACAACGGATTTCGCCACAGGAATATATATAGATCATTAAATAACATTTACTATAAAAACAAAATTAGCAAGAAATGAAATTGAAAAGATTATGAGTCCGATGTACTCGTTTCTAAAGACCGTTTCATAGAGTATCAATTGTTTTCTAATAAATATGCATATTGCTAGGCTACGTTAAAGATTTACATTAAATTGAAAAAAATTAAATTTGATCAACATATTAATTTACTTTTGTGATTTATTGGAAACATTTTCATTCACTTAATTACAGTAATAAACTAGAAAATTCAGTTTCTTAAGCCAAACAAGCCTTCTTACAATTTCATTAACAAACCTAGGCTTTGTGTTTTTAAAGTTGCTCTCGAAACAAAACAATGTAAAAACTGAATTTTAAATGAACTACACGGAAACTATACGTCGTTCGTGTGCACATGTATTCAGAATAAGACGAACATCATGAATGAAACATGCGAAAAACTAGTAAATTGAACTGATCGACCGTTATATCCCTCGCAAAAATCTGGTCAACCCTCGAAAAAAAAGTGGACCGATTTATTCGGACAAATACGATCTCAGTTGTAAACGTGATTACCCGTGATCGTATAAACAGAAGAATATTGAGAAAATTCGTTAAATTTTAGGAAGGCAAAATTTAAATAGATGTCATAAACTGAGCTATCCAACCTCCATTGTAAAAATATCTGATAAAAGTTGACATAAACACTCTTATAACCAACTGATGAAATTGAAAAGTTAGATATCATTTTCTATCAGGCAGGCAAATACTCCTTACACCAAACTATAGAAAACATATTTAAAAAGAAACTGGCAAATTTAAACATGAAATTAGCCAGTCTTCAAAATATTGCTAACAATATTTTATGAACAATGTAAATCGTGTCTTTTACCGAGAATGATCGAACGCGTACTGCCATCTGTACTTAAAGGGAACAAATAAGATTTACCACGACAATTACAGGTGCATTACTGTTGCAAACTTCTTATCCATATTAATAGAGAGCAGATTCTCAAGATCAGAATAGAACACTACTAACTGTTACATCGACTAAAACTTCTACATGGTTTTACAGAAAAAATCATTCTTACTGAGGCCTTCCGAAAAGCCAGATCTTGGATAAAAAAATAAACGATATTAATAAAGTGTCATCAACCTTTATTGATGACAAAGTCTTGATACCCAGTAAAAAGCATAAAGTATAATCATTGCAAGACACAGTATGCGACACTACAGGGAACGATCTAGCAGCAACTTATCCAAATAATTCCGATTTGGTTCTTCTGACAAAGAAATGTGTGATATTTTGATTTATACCAGGAAATGATAAAAAAAGAACAAAAAGCTGAAATTAACAATATACGACTAATTAGAGTTTATAAGATTACTTTTATCAGGAAGATAGACGAAAATATAAAAATAAAAGCAAAGGCTATACAAGGGAGAGGCGAATGATAAAAGACAGCCGAATGAGATAAGATATTAAAATAAAAAAAGTGGTGATATTCGACTGTATCCGAGTCAAATCGTTCACCAGAAAGATATAAATTTTTAATACACGTACCCCAAGATGGTATAGGATGTGGCACCTGTGTCTGAGAATTAGGAAATATATATCTAGGTCCGGCTGATGGGAACATCTGACTCATCATACGAGAAGACTGTCCCTATAATGATTAACAAAAAGAAGGGACAACGTTATATGACAGTCGTTATCAAATAGTTCGTTTCTATATATGTTGGCGTTTGTTTGTTGTTGCACTTCAGTGTTTCTGTTGTTCATTTGTTTTCCTCTTATAGTTGATGTGTATCCACCGGTTTTAGTTTGTAACCCGGATTTGTTTTCTCTCAATCGATTTATGACTTTTGAACAGCGGTATACTACTGTTGCCTTTATTGACTGCTAATATGGAAACTGCTCCATTTCATCATCACATGTAAACAATTACTGGAACAATATCGAATACAAGTTTCTTGTATATGTCTCCCTTGTATTTTGACAGAGAATGTTAACACTTTTATCTTGAATGTCATCATTTCATGAATTTTAGAACAAATCTTATATTCTTGTAATAAAAACTAAAGCAGTGTCGTATACATGAAACATAACAAATTTAGGTAAAGGCTATAGAATACAAGATCCTATGTATTATGACATATATTTTTTGTTATTACCTTGAACCTTGATTCTTTCATAACATACATGTAAATATGTGAATATGTCTTCCTTCAAACAGAAAGGTATAGATACCTATATACGTGTAGTTTGCAGAAAAGAATTGTTGATCATGTATAAAAAAAACAATTCATAAACTCTGACACCAGCAACTTTTGGAATGATATGCAAAGAAACAAATGACCATGAAAAGCTAATAAACTACTGTTGTCAGCCTTATAAGTTCGTTAAATATGCGTGTTTATACCGTTTGCACTAAAACGACATTCGCATTTAAAAGCACCAATTGCACAGTTACTTAGTAGCAGTCTTTTATCATATAACAATTTATTTAGAATGTTGGTAGAAAAGTTATAACGAATTCCGACTCGCCCTTTAGTTGAAAACAATCTTTTTGCAAGAACTTTAATATGAAAAAAGAATCGGAAGAAACAGAACTGACATTTACACTCATAAGTAGAAGACAAACACGCAAACAGAAAAGTGGGAATGGCTCTTTCAATGGTTAAGATTAAACTATTACAAAGATACGATAGAAAACAAATCATTGCACATTTTGTTATTATGCTACTTTATTCAACTAGTGTCTGTATGAATAATTTGTAAAAATAAAGATGTATTCTTGTTATGGATTTCTTGGATAATTTCCTGTTTCTTAAATATTCTAGGCTTTGATCGTTCCTGATGAAGGCCAATCCAGAAAAGCGCGTCGGACGCATGAAACTTGTATAGTGTTAGTTACATTATAAAAAGAAAATATTGAATAATCAGCGTTCATTTAATTGACTCTAAACGTCTAGTTTGACCATATTGTTAAAACATTATCAGTTTGACAAGATATTCCATGGCCTATTTTTTTAGTAAACATTGGGAAATTTAATTCATAATAAGAGAATACTGTCTTTGGACAGCCTTATTAACGTCAATTTAGCAACTACAAATTCCTTATTGTACCTACTGGAGGCCTTATCATGTTTGGTTGTCCTCCAATTGTAGTTGAGTTTCCGATCTGTCTTTCTAGATATCTGCCGGATTGCATTGGTCCTGTGCTTGGTGCTGATAATGGTTTACATGCTGGTTGTTCAGTGACAGACCGTCCAATAACTGGATGAGCATTAGTTGTAACACGGATGTTACTAGATGTGTCACTATCGTTATCTTGATGAGCTTGCAGAACAGCAACGGCTTCTTGTACCTTAAAAGATAACACTTAAAACATTGTATATATTTCAAATACTATTCCAAATATACCTTCATCAGGAACACTCACAGCTAAACATATAAAAGATGGATAATAAACAGATCTTTATGACCAAAACGTACATAAAAATCATAGCCAAATTCTTTGAGGTCAACTTTTGCTGAGGGAGTTGGAACCTTTTTTATAAATAATTTCTTTATGTATCAATCGAGAACTGCAAATTGTAAATTGTATATATATAACTTCATTTTCTTCTAATAATAGATTGAGTCATATGGCATGTAAACAACGATGCTGCCACCAATCATATATCAGTTGACAGGCCTCGATAGACGAGTGGCCTTAAGTAGTTCAACTACTCTACCACTAGCCTGCAAATAAAATAATCATTTGAAGTAATAACGCCTCGCTGGTTACACGCTACAATTGGTTGTACCTTAAAATAGAAAAAAAGTAAAGCCACGTTGTTGACTGAATATGCATGGTTACGCATATCAATTTACAATCACAACGCTTGAAATTGATGAAAGTATATCTTGAATACTTTGGGATCTGTCATGGCAAAATAAAAAGTAAAGTAACAAAAATACCGAACTCCAAGAAAAATTAAGAACGGAAAGTCCTTTATCAAATGTTAATGATTTGAAAGCACAGTGCCTGACTTTGTAAGGCATTTCCTCATTAGAAAATAGGGGAATAAAACTGCCTTTATAGCTAGATTAACCTCTGACCTTTTTAAAACATTATATTCTTGTTAATATCTATGCTATTAAAATCCAATTGGTAGTTTTATTAGATTATTTAAGTGCAACACATATGCAGTTCGACTTAAATGTACTAAGCTAAATATACAAGAGTAAGACGGGACATGTTTTTATTCTCCCTGATTTTTATTTGTTTAATTCGGTTACAAACCTTAGCCTCTAGTGACTTCTTGGATTTTAACATATCTAGTAAGTCCAAATTGTCCATTTCCAGTAACATTCCAGTGATCTTTCCAGCCAGGTCTGGATACATATTTAGAATCAGCGGAAACAAACGTTCTCCTAACATCTGTTCTTGTTCCTGGTGAGATGCAGCGGCCAACATAGTTGCTGTTAAAGTCTCTTGACTTTGGTATAAGATCCCGTTTTCTTCGGACGATGTAGCGCTTTCTTTTGCTTGTTGAGAATGCAGTCCAGCGACAACTTCATGTACCTGTTAAATATATATTAGTTCATATGATTTGTATCATGAATGAAATTTTGCCTAAATCACAGAAGTGTAAATATGAAGAAGAAGAAGAAGAAGAAGAAGAAGAAAAAGAAGAAGAAGAAGAAGAAGAAGAAGAAAAAGAAGAAGAAGAAGAAGAAGAAGAAGAAGAAGAAGAAGGATACCAAGGTTACATCTAACTCACAGGTCGAAAATATATTGAGGACGCCATGGCTAAAAAGAAACTAAGAAAGCAAAAACCAGCACTGAATTTTAAAATTCCATCTGGCGGAGTCATCTTTTTTATCCTGATAGCTATTTACATTTACTATAAATTAACATCTTTGATTTTCAATTAGTGAAAAAGATTTAACGTAGAGTAAGACATGAGTTTAAATTCTTGCAATTATTACCCTGCTGCTTTCCTAACTAATTGAATGAATGCTCAGAATTATTTGATGATATATTATTTACAACATTTTCTTTAATTTGGAAAGGTAACTGTAAAGTAACGTTCTATCAAATGTGAAGTGCTATCCTGTATGTTTTAAAGTCTGTTGTTTATGAATTCAACATTGCTTTAAGATTATTGATTACTAATGAAAATTTCTTATCTGCTTATTGGCATGATCAGAAATTTATCTAAGTTACTTAGCTATTTGATATTTTTCTCAACATATTGTATGAAGATTAAAATCGTTTAAAATCAAGATAAAAATAGCAGACTATATAGTAAATACGGCAGCGACATACACTGGAAAGTTGCCTAATTTAAAAGTGCAGTGAGGGCATTATCAAATTCTTTCGAAAACATAAAAACACTTGCTAATTGCGAGAGACTCTGTGTATCTGGTTTGCCCTAGGTAGCTCAGGGTATCAAGTTTTCCCTGAGAATTTCAAATTAACTATGAAAAAAGAACTCGTAGCATCTTATATGGTATGGGGGAAGCTGAAAGTAACTAAATCATAAATAGTATATGATGTATATATTGGCATTTAGTAAGATGTTTACATATCAATGAATCAAGTCAGTCAGGGATTAGGTCGATTACTTTAAAATCTGATCGATTAAATAACAATTACTTTGCTAATTTGATGAAGTCGATTACATTACAATTACACTTTAGTTCAAATGTAATTGATTACCTTAGATTACATTGTATACTGTGGTATTGAAAAAAAACTTTTTCAAACATTTGATCCTCACATAAAAAAGCTAATATGAGTAAAAAATTGTGTTTTTATATATATATATTTAATATAAACGTGTTATTTATAAGAACTTAGAAAAGGAGTAGCGTAATATTTGTATTGTTAGATGACATAATATTATTTGACAAATTTACTTTGAAAGTAAATGTCTCTGTGCTTTCTTTGTTAAAATTATAACATTGTTTTTTGTTGAATATTTTAGCCCAAAACATATTTTCAATTAAGAAAAAGAAATTAACATATAATGATTATTCAATTATCAAGCAGCCTTTTTGTCAGTGTTGACATAATTGACACTTGAATGTGTTTTACAGGTGTTAATCACTACCTCAAATTTTATAACAGACAATAGATGAGCTTTGGTAATTATGATTAGAATAATCAATAAATTTGTATGCAGTTTATTTTTTATCATATACATGATTGTAAAATTCATATTTCTATTCAAACATATTAAGAAAAAAACATGATAAAAAATTACTGAATTTTTGTCACAAAAATTGGGAAAAAACAATTGTTCTGAATTTCATTATCATTAGAAGTCGAACATCAAAGTAAATATAAAGAGCAAAATATGCACTTAACCTTAAAAGTCTGAGACCAAGGGAACAACAAAATGTTTAAAACACAAACATCTTATATCACAAGAACTCACTGTTTTATAAATTTTTCGAAAAACTAAAGATTTTCTTATCCCAGGCAAAGATTACCTTAGCCGTATTTGGCATAACTTTTTTGGAAATTTTGGGTCCTCAGTGCTCTTCAACTTTGTACTTCTTTGGCTTTATAACTATTTTGATCTGAGCGTCACTGATGAGTCTTATGTAGATGAAACGCGCGTCTGGCGTATCAAATTATAAGCCTGGTACCTTTGATAACTATTAAAAAGCCAGACATTTACACCCTTTATCCCTTAAACATAAGTATACTGAAACTGAAATCAATAAATAGTTATAAGGATCAATCACACTGAGCATTAGTATGAGGATTTTTTCATTTATGTTTGTAAAAAAAAATTATATATAAAATTTGTAATCAACAAGCAATCATTTGAATTGTAATCTAAAAGTAATCATGATTACACTTGTTTTTGCTCTGTAATCGATTACATTACGATTACTTGTAATCCAACAGGCATGATAACTGAATATATGTGATAACACTGCAAACTGTAATCGATTACAGCTGATTACGATCATTGACAAACAATATTTCAAAACTGTCAAAAGAAGGTGCACATTGTCCATTGTTATCTGAAAGTTTTACTACAATATAGACACTAGTACATGCAAGTTGTGGAAATCATTAACGATGTTAAAACATGGACATGTAGACACAGGAACTACCAAACATTCTCTTTCACTGTCACTAAGAAGAGGTACACTTATTTTGTTATTAAAGAAGACCGAAACAGTGTAAAAGAGTTATCATTCATCTCCCTGTCTACCTAAATAAATGCAGAGACAAGTAAATAAAAAAAATTATAAACACTATCCGGTGATTGTATTTTGTGCAGCTACAAACCTTGGACTCAAATAACTCCTTGGATTCCATAATCACTAGCAACTCTGAATTGTCTGTTTCCAGTAACATTTCAGTGATTGTTTTAGCCAGGTCTGGGTAAATTTTTTGGATCAGCGAGAACAAAATTCCTCCCAAAATGTGTCTTTGCTCCTGTTGAGGTGTATGAGCCTGCAGTGCATCAACGGCTTCTCGTGCCTGTAAAAGCGTATTAGTTAATCTAGCTATGAATGAAGTGTGGAAGGTAGCAAGACCAGCTGGAATCTGAAGCTGATGCAAACGTTCTTTAGTGTTATTTGTGTATGCAAACACAAATACCTACTTTGGTTAGGCCTTTCATTTGTATTAATACATGCTTGATTATTGAGCAAATTTAATAATTCATACCAAACAAATAATGACGTTGCCGATCAGCTGACAAAAAAATATATTCGTATTTTACTACGGGTGTTTACTCAAAGTGTTTGAAGAATGTCATATTAGAATAAAAAAGATAATATCAATTAGATAGCATAGTCGTCTATAAAAGTCCCCGGCATGAAAAAGGATAATCAATTCAATTGCGAAAGCTAACGGCCTAATTTATAACAAAATAATTGCAATAAACAAACATGACAGACATGAACCAACGACAACCACTGTACTACGGGTTCATGACTTTGGACAGACACATAAAGAATGTTTCGGGTTTAACATATTTGAAAGCGTCAACCCAATTCCCCAAGAACAAACTATACAAAACAGCAAACGAATAACAATGATACATAATTTAGAAAATTCATCCCGTGAAGGTAAATACGAGGTAATTTGAAGATTAATTATTTTAAAGGATATCACAAAAATATTCAAAGTAAAATATAAGGAATCATGTCTTGTTTGCAATAGTTTTGTAGTGCATTAATGAATACTTTCAAATAAGACAGATGACAGAAAAAACTCTATTTGTAATTTTTTGTAATTTCTGTGATCATAAATGTTTTAAATTAAGAGTATTCTGAATTGTTAAAAATAGGCATTTTTCTATACATCAATTTCATTATTTAAGTAAATATGTTAATTGTCTTTTAAGTTGCAAATATGACAATTCCGGAACAGATACGTTGTCATAGATTTATTTCATCCAAAAAGGGTTATCACAAAATATCCTAACGGGTTACTTTTAACAGGTAAACTGTGTATGCACCTTGAAGTTATTAATCGAGCTTTCCCCAATGTAACTTGACTTCTGGCAAACATTAGATTTACAACACTTTCTGTTCAATAGAGACATACTCGACATTTTGCTGATCTTTGGTTGTAATTCACCATTCATAATTTGCATTTAGTCAATAAATGCATTTTGGTCTCGATATGTTACGTGTCTTGGTATTTATACATCCAACATTCATGTATTTAGTTATGCTGTTTCGTTCGTAAGTCTGGTTAGGTATTGAGTTATGTCTTATTGTTTCTGGTTTGAATTCTATTTTTATTGTATGTAAACGTTAAGATAATTAATCATCTAGTTCATTTATATGATTTTTAGTTTAAAAAAACTATATGCACATGATTTATTTGTTTTTACACAGTTTGATTTAGAAGAAAAACCAAATGGTTAAAAAAAATACAAATAATTTCATCAATACTAACACAATTCTCTATCAATATTCTTGCAATGGTTGGAAAATACATGAAATATCACCATTACAAACTAGATCTTTTATTTCTATTTTTCGCAATTTACCTGTGACGTCACTTTAAGTGGCGTTGATACATTCGTGTGACGCACAGTTCAAAGTTCTATTGTGGTTAACTTGTGAACTGTCGTAAGTTAAAGGCAGGTGTCTGTTGTTATTATGTGGTTTACATGTTGTAATGTACTATTATATTATTTATTTATGTATTTCTCTGTCCTGAGTGTCCTTGCGTTTATTTGTACTGTATTCCTGTCACGTAATGTTGTCATTTTAGCGGAATTGTTAACATTGTCATATAAGCGGGAGATTTGGCTAGCCATAAAACCTTGTTCAACCAACCATTGTTTTCTGAAAATGTCCGGTAACAAGTCAGGAATATGGCACTTGTTATCAAATAGTCCGTTTCTATGTATGTTGGCGTTGATTATTGTAACAGTTCAGTGTTTCTGTTGTTCCGTTGTTTTCCTCTTATACATGTTATAGTTGATGTGTTTCCTTCGGTTTTTGGTTTGTGACCGGGAATTGTTTTCTCTCAATAGATTTATGAATTTTGAACAGCAGTATCCTACTGTTGCTTTTTGAATAGTTTTCCAAATGTTATTTAAAAATGTAGTTAATCCTAGGATTTAAACTGCGACAAATATAAAAGAGATAAGTAAAAAAAAAGCATTATCAGGAAGCCGATGATTTTATTCCTAATCTAGCTACAAACCTTTGCCTCTAGTAACTCCCTTGATTCTAACATTTTTGACAACTCTGAATTGTCTCTTTTCAATAACATTCCAGTGATTTCTCCAGCCAGATCTGGATACATTTTTTGAATTAGTAGGAATAAACGCTGTGCTATCATTTGCTTGTGTTCTTGTTCATCTGCGTTGGCCAACATGGTTGCAGGTGTTCCAATGCTGACTTGACCTGGTTGTTTAGCTCTAACGGCTGCATAGGTTGAGGTTCCTATTTGCGGTCCTGGTATATTCTGGAACCCTGAAAAAGAAATATTCTCATACTGGTAAATGATAGCCGTCCGAACAATTTTTCCATAAAAACAACCCGCTTTTAGTTGAAATAAAGATTCTGCTTTTAAATCAAATTAGATGTGAATGCCGGTATATGTATCACGTCAGCACAAGAGGGACTGCGTTAAGACATTGCAAAGATTCAAGGCTAATAATTAAGTACCTAAGACTAATCGATGGCGCTCGAATCTCAAAATCACCCATACAGTTAAACAAACTGTTTCCCTTTAATCACGATTATTTATAACGGATGTTTGCTCTTCTACTTTCTGTACATGTTCCTCTGATTGTTATACAAGTTCACTTGAATTCCCACTGGGTACGACAATAATGTTTGTCCTTTTAGAGAATGCTGTCCCTCTCGTTGATCTGGTTGTTTTATATAATCATGGTAATGTTGGGCTAATATTGATGTCATATAATGGCGTCCTTGTACGATCAAGGGTTTCCTTTCTCGAAGACCCAAGACTCTTTGTGGTAAATGCACATCTTTTGTGTGGGTATCTTATCAATTACTTACTTTGTTGAAGTTCAGGTATAGAGTTAGATGCGGAACTCGTTATCCATAAGACACAAATGCCTTTGCAATCAGTTTCAGAAGGTTCAGAAAAGATCGTACGGATACTTTATGATCATTCAGAAAGAGTTTAAAGCAAAGGAGGAGGTTCTTCTTTTGGTGGACTCCTTCGCCAAATTTATTTTTTAAAAAAACTCGTCTCAATGCAAAGTAAAGGTGTGAAAGACGTTGCTATATTATTCAACGTTCAATCTCTACCGTTAAAGAGTACCTGGCGCGTTCTTACTGAAAAAGTGCAAAACTTTATATCGAACGAAATGTGACATATATTCAAAATCAAAAGTGTAAAAATGAAAGGTTTTAGACCCTAAACAAGCACAGTACGTGCGAGGTAAATAAAATATAATTGTCAAAACGACTTTGCACACACAATAATGTATATATGGCAACTACCGGCAGGGAAAAATAATGGGAGATAATTAATCTGTGAATATGATCCTTTCTGCGTTAGGTCATGTAGCAGGGCGTTGACAAAGCATCTTTTAGGAAGAAAATGCGTGCTAGGGAGAAAAAGTATTACAAAATTACAGAACTCCTATGCATATTCAAAGGCCATAAAAACTAAAAATATCAAACGCTATCAATCAACGGATCAAGCGATTATAACTGCCATATTCCTGAATCGGAACAGTCATTTTTGGAGAAAATGTTGGGTTAAACCTGGTATTATAGCTTGCTAAACCTTCCACGTGTATGACAGTTGTTTATAGTCCCGTTATATATATATCATACATAGATGGTTAATAAGCTACACATAAAAGAGCAATAAAGAGTTAGGAGTGTAGACTCGCATTTTGGCCATGGTCGATTTTTTTAAATATGAATGTTATTGTACAATTTTTAGAATGCTGATGACTTATCAAGTCTTCAAAGTGGGTTTATAGGAACATTATCATTTTTTTTTTTTTTTTTTTGCATTCTTAGAAAGCTCAGAATAGTTTAATAATTTAAGATTATTCATACCACAAATCTATTAATATTTAGAGAGTTTACTTCTAAACGGATAAAGTGGTTTAGAATGCCAATTTTATTGTTTATTGTCCTAAGTAACCATATACTTTTGACACAAAACTGATGTTTGTACTCTATTGGCTTTGGTAAGCATTACACATAAAAATTATCATTTTCATTCTTAAAATTGCCTAATTTTGTGCAATGTTTGCATCTTCATAGATTTTAGTAAGATTTGCAACATTGAAAAACAGAAACAAAAGGTATATTTTTTTAAATGTTATCATAAATTGAGACAGAAATGAGATTTTACACTTTGGCTTGGCAGTTTTCTTTAAATCAATTTTTGTCCCGTTTCAGTTTCAACTGCCAACCTTCATAAATATTTAATTGAGGACCCAATCTTCAAAATTAAAGGGCTATTTTGCTCTTTTAATAAGGCAGAAACCAGAACATTCATTAAAAAGGCGAATTTAAAAAATAATATTAACTATTAAAGGAGCAATACACACAGAGGCGTTTTGTTTTGTATTTTGGCATCGGTGGATTTTTCAAATATGAAAGCTATTGTGCAATTACATTCATTTAAGACGTAGGCCTTTTAATTTTGAAGATTGGGTCAGCAATAAGATATTTATGAAGATTGGTAGTTGAAACTGTAATTATATTTTTGATTTTACTTTTTATTGCTTATCACAGCAAACACTGTATGAACCATTCAACTGTATATTAAGAAATATATTGCCAAACAAAAATGATATAAGGTTTGCGCGCATCAATAAACGAACCCAACCGTTGCGTATTTTTGTTCAAAAATGGAAAACAAAATACTTGCGTTTTGGCTATTTTGTTTTTATTATCAAAGCTATTTTATAGAATAAACAGTTTTTGCAATGTGTAACACTTAAGAGCAGGACAAATGTATCTAAATGTTTTTATAAAATCAGCTGCAACTCATATAAAGCATTTTATGGAGATAATTGAATGAACATACTAAAAAGAAATCCATGATTTTCAATTAAAACAATAACAGTTAATCATTTGCATATAGGTATTTGTTATAATGAAGAGTAACCGCTATTAAGTCACAAGTACAACTTTTATATGGTATCCTATTGAATTAGTATTTAGATTTCTACCTATTATCAAGTCAATAAATTTATAACATTTGTGTACGTAGTAGATCAAGTTAACACAATGGTTTTAAGATATATCTTCTTTGACAATTAAAGGGCTAAGTAATTATTAGACTTTTTGGCGTTCGTTCACTAATAAGCAATTGCTGAGACAACTACATCTTTTCAGTGTTAAATAACGTAACAAGATGAATATTTTTATTCGATCATCATCCGGTCCAGTTTAAAGCAAAGCCATGTACTTTTAATGAAAATATCTTGCAAACATATATATATGTCTAAATATTAGCATCCCTGCTTATCAAAAGATGCACAAACTGTACTAAATTCTTCCATAGATACAAAGATTTCGTGCGCAAGTTTGACTGTGCCTATAGAAAACTTATTTCAAATAGAATAGCACATCCTACATTTGACTGTGATGTTGTTAACCGAGCCCGGAAACTTAGATACGATACGATCATTGCACAAGGTCATGTTTTTCTCTTACTGGTTATGATGTCTTTACACTAAATCCATTGGATGTGTACTGATTGATTTTAGTCTTTAGATACATGATTTTTCGTATAAGCTGTAATTGGGTTTGAACTAGTTGTCAGTAACTGTGAGTACTCTCAGATCTGTACTAGTGTGTTTTTGTTGTTAGGGATGAAGAATGGATATATACCCAGCCATGTCCTGTCTGTGATTTTGTTTGATATTTTTTTTTTGTATCGATCTGATGAGTTAAGCCTTTTTCAACTGTTTTTATATTTTGTTCTTGTGTTGTGCTAACGTACCACAGTCCAAGTTTAGGGGGTTGAGTGTTCACAAAAAGGTTAAACCCCGCCACATTCTTTATGTGCTTGTCCCAAGTCAGCAGCCTATAGTTCGGTGGTTGTCGTTGGTTCATGTGTGTCATATTTGTTTTCATAAATTATTTTGTTATAAATTAGGCCGTTCGTTTTTCTCAATTGAATTGTTTCATATTTTTCATGCTGGGGGCTTTTACAGTGGACTTTATGGTATGGGATTTCTCATTGTTGAAGGCCATACAATTGCCTATAATTGCACTTCATTTGAACTGTGATGGATAGTTGTCTAACTGGCAATCTCCTTTCTTTTTATATATATCGTTATAAGGTCGAAACTTTTCCTTTCAGTTTATCTATATGTATCAATCATCTAAAAGTTTGATAGGAAAAATCATCAAAGAAACTAGGCTTATAATTTTGTACGCCAGTCGCGTGCTTTGTCTAGAAGACTCATCAATGAAACTCGAATTAAAAGGTGAATAAGGCCAAAAAAAGTACAAAGTTGAAGAGCATTGAAGGTCAGATATCATATTACTAAATACACCCTACATGGGTAAAATGGGACCTATTACCAAAAAAAGAAAACTCTGCTTATGAACAAATACCTTTTGAAGAACAAAGGATGAACTTCTCTGACGAATAGAAATTACCAGATTAAATCTGATCTTGTCAACAAGGAGTGCTTGCTCAAATTATTTTTCATAAAACAAGACAGTATTTAAGTCTCAAATGTTTTAAACATGCATTATAAATGAAAAAAATCATATGAGTTTGTCGTGTGGTCATTTTAGACATTAAATGTTATTGAGATCAAATTGACCGTTTTCAGATTTGAACGTAGTAACTTATGTTAAAGTTTATTTAATATATCTTTTCTTTGATATAATCAGAATTTGTTTTTTTTTAAAACCTTCTTGTCTTTTTTTTTATTATTTATTTAACCGCTTCGATGATCTCGTGGTAGCGTGTTCGTCTCGACTGTGGGAGGTCGTGGGTTCCAACCTTGGCCGGCTCAAACCAAAAACTTTAAAATTGGTATTTGCTGATCTCCGCTAAGCACGCGACATTTAGGAATAAGAGCAAAGTCTAATCTGCTCGGAGTCAATATAATTTTTCCTGGTAGGGTGCCAAGGTGACACATTTTCCTGTTACCTTGTGCTCTAACACGTTAAAAATCCGGCTCACTCTGAATATGCATATTAATTTGCCGCTGGATGTGAAGAGGTTATCCATCATCATATTTTATATTTAAATCGATCATATCTTACATAATAGACTAATATAACATTGGTTTAAAATGTTTACAAAATGGAAAAGTTTTATGTAATTAGAACATCAGTTCGTCGTATTTGAAGTATATGAATTACAACCGTTTGAGAAGAAGGCGAGTTGCTGTCATTGCACGTGTTTGTAAACAACATGAGTTTAGTTGTTTAGTCATCGGAATCTCAATAGTTTAAGCAGTGACTTTTTGATCCTTTTTGGTTTATAGCTCTTCACATTTTTAATAAGCTTTGGATTTACAAATATTTTGGCCTCGAGCATCACTGAAGAGACATTGACTGTCGAAATGCGCATCTGGTGCAGAAAAATTGGCACCGTTTATGTTATTACTATCACTGGGTCGATGCCTCTGCTGGTGGACTGATAGTCCCTGAGGGTATCACCAGCCCAGTGGCCAGTACTTTGGTACTGGCATGAAAATACGGATTTTGTGTTATAAAAATTTGGTGTTACAGAATTTTGGAACTTATTTAAAATTAAGGAATGAATCTCCCTCATGCACAGCTCTGATCCCTTGACAAGCTTTGGCTATACTTTTTGGTTTATAGCTCTTCATATGTTTAATAAGCTTTGGATGATTTTCAAATAGTTTGGCCTTGCGCATCACTGAAGAGACATTGATTGTCGAAATGCGTATCTGGTGCAGAAAAATTTGTACCGTTTTTGTTATTAAATAAGGATTGAAGTGGATTGTTGGTCGGGATAACGCCTCAAAACATCAAATCCAAAGCCCTAATATTAAATAAGAAGGAACTGTCCATCCTTAAATTCTTAGTATTGAAAAAACCTTTGAAAATTAACACGAATTAACACGGAATCATAGCGAAAATTAAAGCATGGTCATATCTAGTGTTTTATTAAAACATATATTGATAATGACATACCTTGCAACACTTTTGAAATGGTAAGCAATTTCCTTTAGAAATGTAAATGTAACAAGCACTTCAATCATCTCATGTTATATTCTATAAAATTTAATTAAACATCTGTAAACATACATATGTGCCTTTTTCTATTTTGAATATTTCTCGGTTGTATTGATAACGATCTTAATAACTTCATAGTATACTTGTATAGATACTTGCGTGTGTATCTGATGTGCCCAATGCTTTGTATTATTCTATTGTTATGTATTGATATTAAAAGCTTATTTGTTTTGTACATGTATTATTATGGATAAATTCAAGTTGGCTTTATTTAATTTCTTTTAATTTCTACATTTTGGGAAATGTTTTTTATTACCTTTTCTCTAAACTTAACTATCGTCCATATTTTCATTATGGAAAAACAATTATTGATAAAATGTTTTTCTTTGTAATCGTACATGCTGTACTGGTACCACTATGTATAAAAAGTTGCATGGGACAATTACACATCAACTAAACAAAGATAAAAAGTGAAATACTCGTTCTACTACCTGGTGGAGGCTGTCTTAGCAGTGCTTGCCATCTTGGGATTTGGCTCGAATCCGGCACAGGTATTGGTAAATGATAGTTCCTTTGTCCCTGTGTCATGGTAGGAAGCAAATATCCCGGCCCAGCTGGTGGGAACATCTGACTCATTTTACAATTCGGTCCCTAAAGATTGACAGATACCATAAGAGCCATCAATAACAGACAATTAGAGAGCAATATTTTATGTGCCAACCTAATGATAGGAACCCATCTTGTTCAATGTTGTTGTGTTGGGGTTTTTTTTTCAGTCTGTCAAAATAGGATTTTGATGAAAGAATCTGTATTCGTCTTATAGAATTTATGCAAAGCTTGTAACCATTGTCGCCTTATGATTCAGTAAATCAAAACACCGACATAATAGAGATTGTTAGCATTAAAGCATATAACTTCCATACAAGTGTGTGGTTTAAAAAAAGTGAGGCGAAAGATACCAAAGGGACATTCAAACTCATAAGTTGAAAATTAATTGACAACACCATGGCTAAAAAAGAAAGAGACCAACAGCGAAACAATAGTACACAAAACACAACTTACAATATAGGACTGAGCAACACGAAACCCAACAAAAACTGGGATGATCTCAGGTTCTCCGGAAGGGTTAGCAGATTTAGCTCCACATTTGGCACGCGTCTAGTTGCTCATGTTAGTACAAACCCGGCAATAAGTCTAATTCGATAGGTCACATTCGGGAAAAGGAAACGGGATTGTAGTAATGACATAAGGATTATATCCGCTATCAACTATGAACTGGATATTCCATAGCGGTCAACCAACTCGTGATGGCGTCCGTAACATTTACGAAGTGCTGATTTCAACTTCACCACTTTTAAGGTATCTATAAAACCAAATTTTTATCCATCATTGTCTTCGGAAAATGTCTGTACCAAGTCAGGAATACTACAGTTGTTTATATTCGTTCCATTTGTTGAATTCGTTGAGCGTTTATTTTATCGGGTTTATGGACTCCCCGTTTTCGAATTTACCATTGCAGTGCGGTATTATTGTTAATACTGTTATATGTATCTCTATATGACGACGACGACGACGAGGGTGGTTTTAATGACCTGGACTACCCATGAGTGTCTTGCACGGTCGGAATCAATTTTTTTTCAAATTTACAAACTCTTCCTGACCATCAGAACTGTTTCTATTTCAAAATATTGGTTTAAGAAGATTGCTTATTTTGTGCTGTCTAATATCTTACCTGCATTCTGATACTTGCATTGTTTTGCAGATACTGTGTTGCAAGGATAGCCTTACGTACGTCTTTACGTTGTGCTAGGCAGACATACAAAGCTTTATCTCCCAGGACAATACCATTCATTTCTGTGACAGCTTTGTTAGCCTCCTCGGGAGAGCTAAAACACACAAAACCAAATTCTTTGGATCTGCCATTTTCCGTCGTCATCACCTTAAATGAAATATTTAGGTGTAAGATGTTTATCGGTGTTCAAATCCCAGAAATCGATTTAAAAGGCACAAATTGATGGTAAAACACAAAACAAGAGTTTAGCTAGATGAACTGAATTTACATTTTACGTTATTTTTGTGCAAACGCAAGACAAAATGGACAGGGAGGGGAACAGAGAATGGAGTGTAGTATTCGTAGGGTTAGTTTTAGGTCATCGGATAGACCATCTAGAGAGGTCCGAAGAACTACCCAGAAATCATCCTCTTCCGGTAATGAACTAATGGCTATACAGACGACATATTCTACTGAAGAGCAATCCGGCCGTTCCTGACTGCAGGAACGACCATCCAAGGTATTTATCGGTATTAGGTTAATATCGGCAATCACAACATTGGCGCTGCGAGCAGGGTTGCATCTGAATGCGAGCTGAATGCACATGTCAGAATTGGAGCACTGCTCTGACTCAATCTCTGCTCTAACCTTCACCAACACACTCGGTTCTCTGTTCCCCTCCCTGTCCCTGGCACCTACCCCTGGGCCCACTATAGCTACCTCCGCTACTCTGGCTTGGGGTACAACCATATGACACTTCATGACAGTGAAAGCTAAAGGTTTTCGCAAAACCAATGAACACTCTACAACAAGAGCTCTTCAATTAAAGACGAATTTTACAAGAATTCAAAAATTGATGTAATGTATGCGTTCATTGACCCAATTGCTCTATTTTGATAAGTTAAAAAAAACTCTTACCATGAGTACAATTCTTAAATATGATTTCTTAACTATTTAATTCATCTGTAGTTAGATATAAATAAAAATCGGATGTGAATATTTGTATACTCAAAAACTCAAACAAATTGTTATTAAAAGGTACACTTCGTGAACATATACAACGCAAAAGCAGTGCACTCATTACTAAAACACATTTAGTAAAAGCTTCCTTAGAATCTTCAATTTATTTCTTGACTGTAAATTTCGTATTCAGTTTGTTTACTCCCAATCCTCTACCTAACATGAGAGAGTTGTGTCACAACACAGCAAAAAACAACGAAACTATAAAAGTCATTCGAAAAGGACTTTAACTTATCTAATCACTTCAAAGCACACAAACATATAACAAGAACACTTTTGACACAAAAACTGATCTGAAAGTACTGCTAGTTACTGAAAGCGAGTTCAGAGCCAATAAAACATAATAAAAAAAATGTATCAAAAACTTACATATGGATCAAAACACATTCAACATTCAAGTAGACATTAAAAACAATAAGTTCAATCAGTAAGTAAATTCAACTCGTACTGAATATTCATGCTACATTAACCGCAGAACTATAAGCAGTATTCCATGATTCAGCAAATAATTAGATTTAAAAAAAATAAAAAATTACCCTATATAAAGGTAATGCGTCCGTCGGGCTTTTCTTAATTAAAAATGAGAGCCAGAAGTTACAAAAAGGGTTAAGAAAAAATCCGGTAGTCTATTATGTCTGTTTGTTTTGTTCACACATCGTTGTCAATATGATGGAATTTAATGGGACTGTCATATACATGACAGATTTAGCTAGCTATCAGGAATATGACAGTTGTCATCCATTCGTTTGATGCGTTTGAGCTTTTGATTTTGCCATTTTCGTACGGACTTTCCGTTTAGAATTTTCCTCAGAGTTCGTTTTTTTTTGTTATTTTACTTCTTAATAAACATTTATGTTGAAAGCAACCTTATATAACCTCCTGGATATATATATAATGAGTATATACAATTGTAAACACACTTTTAATTTAAAGATAAAAATGGCAATAAATCGAAGTGAGGGTTTGCGGAAATAAGACAGCAATCAATAATACTTCCGACTAACTTAAAAAAGAGTATGAAAACAACTGCTTCAATTTATGTTTACCTTAGCACTTGTTATCGTACCAAATTTAGAAAATTCGTTTCTTAATCTTTTATCATTAATGCTTCTGTCTATGTTTTTCACATAAACATTGAGACCCTCATACTGCATATTTTTATTTTTTCTGATTTCTTCATTTGTGTCAATCAGTTCAGCTTGTCTCTCTGATTTGTTCTGTGCTCTACCCACATACAGGGTTTTCCCGTCGATAATTATACCGTTCAGTTCTTCCACAGCCTATTAAAAGATACAGTAACTGAATGCATAAAAAAGAAATGCAAGGCAGATGTTGGGCTTACTGAAATCAGAAACATGCATTTTTTTCTAGAAACTCTATGAATTGATAGAACAGAAATCCACCCAAGTTAGAACATATTCGTGCAATATTTAAGGGGATTTTAATTACAACAATTTTTTTTTTATTTGGATATTGTTTTCTTTTATATAAAATGATTGGTGATTTTTTTTTTTTTTTTTTTGTATATAACAGTAAAAGAAAACAATGATTGAATACGTTTTATCATGTTTTGATAATAAAAAAAAAGAGTTAAACAAATATAACGGGTACCAGACTTAAAAAATAGTAAGTTCATTTCATCTGCATTTGCGCGAATCAAAACGATTTGCTAACCAATCCAATTACTACGTTGGAGAGCATTGAATCCATAACATTTTTTAGATTATATGTGTAAATATTTCATTCGTTTGATGTGTTTGAGCTTTTGATTTTGCCATTTAATTACGGACTTCCCGTTCTGAATTTTCCTCGGAGTTCGGTATTTTTGTTATTTTTCTTTTCAATATGGCCATCTATGTCTGATGGTAGTGTTTCGAATACTTTCAAAATCGAACACAAGAGTGCACAAAACAACGGATGTATGTTTGTATGAACTAACACAGAGGTGGTGAGAATAAAAGATAATATTGTTTGGTTTTTTTTATATTATACTCGGTCACACAATGATTATATTTGCCGTATTAACAACAATAACATTGACGCTGCCATCGTTACTGCATCGGACGCGCTTTTCCGGTTGAACTTAACTAATCTAATGGTAATTTTTTTTTTATTCTTATCTTTCGTTTTTGCGATAGTGCTTTGTCTATATGCCTTTTTGATTTTCTTTGTTGACATATATGTTTGTTTTTATAATGATTAAGATAATAATACAATGTTGACTGCTGTTCTCCTATTTTTGACATTTTTACCTATTATGTCTGATTGTTTTGTTCACACATCGTTGTCAATATAATGGAATTTTATGCAACCGTCATACAAGCGAGAGGTTTAGCTAGCTATAAAACCAGGTTTAATTCATCATTTTCTACATAAGAAAATGCCTGTACCAAGTCAGAGATATGACCGCTGTTATCCATTCGTTTGATGTGTTTGAGCTTTTGATTTTGCTATTTGATTAGGGACCTTTCGTTTTGAATTTTCCTCGGAGTTCGGTTTTTTTGTTATTTTACTTTTTATTAAGTAAAAAGATTTGTTTTTGGTATTAGCTGGTTAAGAATGTGTATGTGTTATTATGGCTTTTTATTGAAAAGAGCTTACCTTTTCAGCGTCTTCTGAATTTTGATAGCAAACAAACCCAAACCCTCGACTTTCGCCCCTGATATCAGTCATTATCTAGTAAAAAATAAACATAAGACAAAAATTAATGAAATAAAAACACCAAACAGTATAACGTAATTAAACACAAGTTAAGCTCTTTAATTTGATTTGGCCTTTCCAAGTAATATATTTCGAGTGCCACTGATGGGTCTTATGTAGACGAAACGCGCGTCAGGCGTACAAACTTATAAGCCTTCAATTTTTTTTAGTTTTTAGCTAGTGCTTCTAGCAGTTGCTCTCAATAGCTTAGTTGCATTCAAAATATCAACAAACCTTTAAACTGGTAATTTTACCATGCGGCTCAAACATTTCTTTTAACTCTTCTTCTGACATCTTAAAGCCGAAATTCTTTATATAAACATTGTTAAATTTCTTTGTCTTGTCAGCCAGGATTTCAGTGATATCGTCTTCGTTCATTTCTCGACTAACATAGCTAAAAATAGAAATCTGTGATGTTTAACGTTAAAAATAATTCATGACATTTAAAAGCTTAATCCGGTTAATTGATGAGATTGGGGTTTTTTTTACACAAAAATAATCGCTCTACAGACCAATTCTTCATGTTTGTAATTGCAGGTGCCTAGCACTCACGATGTTTTAAACGATTAAGGCATACTCTGATGCGGAAGTGAATGTAAACACATCCATAAAAACGTGCACTGTTTATAATGATAATTTTATGGATTAAATTCCCACTTTTTGAATTTACCTTGGAGCTCGGTATTTTTGTAAATTCTTTTCTTAAGATCGTTTTAAAAACGTCCCTTGCCTTATATATAGTTCTCCAACCATTTTAACAGAATTTTCAATATGGTAAGTGGTACATCAGATGTCAATATAGTTATAAAACAACTCACTCTGACAAACAATCGTTGAAACTGAAGAATATCAGGACACTTGACAGGATTTTTGTAAAGTTTGATGGGAGTTTTATTAGCGTGTGTATAGGAACGTATTGTGCCTGTCTTGTTGTTAGCTTTTTTTTTGTACTCGGAACACGTTTGAACAAAAGAAAAATATTTAATCATTAAGTTCATTTGTTGAATTCTCGTATCAAATATGAAAAGGTTATTAGTTTATCAGTATTTTCAACACCAAAATCGAGTCTCCATGAAATAAGATGAGATAAAATTGTTATGCCAAAATTAAGAGTCTCCATACACATGATACAGATGAGCTGAAATTGTAATGCCAAAAACCTAGAAAAAATAAATAAAGCAAATCAGTAGAGATTTACATCGGAATCTGAGAGGAATAAGAAACTTATTTTGTTAATCTTGAATATTAATACTGTTATCCTGTGGAGCCATCTAAAGTTCTTTAGTTGATCATTTTTTACTAGTAAATGAATATTAAGTATCATCGAAAATAGATTATTCATTTATGTTCAGTCTTTTAGTCAATTTTTAGACTTATCCACTGCGGTATCTTCAGCACTGCTCAGACAATTCGTTTGCAGTCTATTCCAAACTGTTCAAAATATTTTCAAATATTTCAGAAGGATGTTGATGTGTACAGGTAAATATCAAATACTGATCAGCCTGAACATAGATTGCACATATTAATTGACTGAAAGCGAATTGTAGGAACATTACTGAATGTACCGCAGTGTATAAGTCTGAAAATTGACTGAAAGAATGAAAAAGACAAAACAATTTATTGTTCAGTCTTTTAAGAGCTGTTCAGATCCATGTGTCGCTAACCTGTATCTTCAACAATGGTAACCGTTTAGTAAATATAATCAGTGAAGCAGTATAACTCTATTCAGATTTGACTGACAATTTCAGTCATGTTGACATATTTGTCGATAGTTTTTTCTTTTTAAAGTTTCTATTTATCTATTATAGTTTTTTAAGATAATAGGAAAAAAGTGGAAAATAAATATTAAAATTTATCATTCAAGGGCAATAGCTCCAATAACGAGTCTTGCTAATCATTTATGCAAAAATAAATTTCTATATATCTATTACAGTTTTTAATATTATTGGCAAAAAATGGAAAAAAAATCGTCGTTATAGGGCAATAACTTCAATATGGAGTCGACTAACAATTTCTGTCAAATTGACTTATTTGTAGATATTGTCTTGCTGATATTTTTTTTTCTTTTTGAAGTTTCTATCTATCTATTATTGTTTTTACGATATAAGTAAAAATTCGTCATTTAAGGACATTCACTCCTATTAGAAGTCTTTTGACAATATAGAAGTAAATGAACAATAGGTAGAGCTCAACATCCTGAACATTTTTACCCCTGGCAGATTTTTCTCTATTCATAGTTGTATACAAAATAATAGACAAAACTTGCATTTTACCCCTATATTCTATTATCAGCCATGTCGGCCATCTTGTTCGGCAAGCAGGGTCACTGAACATATTTTTGAACTAGATATCCTAACGATGATTGTGTTCAAGTTTTGTAAAATTTGGCCAAGTAGTTTAAGCCAAAAACGATTTATGACTTTTGAATACCGGTATACTACTGTTGCCTATATTTAAGAGGAGAGGATTTTTGTAAAAGTTAACGATGGAGGCGGACGACACCTGACGTCAAGTGATGAGAAAAGCTCACTTGGCCTTTCGGCCAGGTGAGCTAAATATTGGTTACTAGTGTTTGCTTATATAAATATCGAGCAAAAGGGCAATGGTAACAAAATAAACTTACACCCGCTTTCCATTCAATAAAATGCCATTGACTTTGTATATTGCATTTCTGGCTGCTTCCTCAGTTTCAAAAAGAACAAATCCGTAGCCCCAGGAACCATGATCATCACAAATAACCTTCAAAGAAGATTGAATATGCTAGGTTGTAACAAATAAATGCCAAAATTGCATTTTGTTTTTTGCAAGTCCCTCAACTGTTGAAAGCTTAATGATATGATGCCAAAAACATTGCGCTCACAGTCTTGAACAGAAATGTCAAATTACATTTATAGAACATGCGTGCATATATATGCAATAATAGTTATTGTCAATGTCAAGAGTATCAGGATGTATTCTGAGTGTGACAACTACTAAGTATTTGTCAACTTAAAACACAATCCCCAATTATGTATATCAAATAACTAAATATTGCACATCATGCAACAAACATGAAAAAATAAAATGCCAAGATACTTTAAAAAAAAACCTGAAAATTCCATTTCACTAATAATATGTAATTGTGTATCTTTCAGTAGATACATATGTAATCAAATTTTAAAAAAGATCTCAACATAAAACAAGGCCTAAGCTGTGAAAAATAAATAGTATAATGGGTGCGAAAAGCATTTTTAAGCCTAAGTTGTACCATTAGAGACATACAAACCATCTGTGGTAACATTACATAAATATTTCAAATAATGAACATAAATTGACCATGCTGACCTGATATATAAAATTCCTCATTAAATGCATGCGCCTGCAGCTAATCAAAGGTAAACATAGAAAGGACTAAATCATCATAAATGTGGATTTATTTAGGTGAAATGGGTGTAGAATTGTAGATTGGTCAAGTTATGATGCATTGCTTAGAGAAGATGAACAGGGAATGAAGCAGAAAATATTGTATTATGATGAGATATCATCTACACTCTTTTGCAAATACATTTGAAAGCTACAAAGCAAAGATCTGGCTCAGTTCAAATTGTGTTTCCTCTGTCTTTTATTTATACTACATCAGATTTTAGGATGCTTACACTGGAGACATGTCATTCAAGACAAATCTTTACATGCTAACAGATCACAATAATTTATAACTGGACTTCCAAAGAGGAATGCAATGATTTAAGGATATGATTGGCAGATTTATATACATTTTATTATATGGATAATGCGCTGAATTCATAATATCTGTGTAAGTTTAATGAATATACTCGTTTTGTAATCTTGTGTACTGAAACAACATTCTTGAGGCATGAAAAGGGAAAAAAATCACAAATAGATAACAGATTTTATTTATTTCAATGACAGGTTGACTGCGTTTTAGTCTGAGACAAATTTGACATAATTCTGAGATATTTTGGTCAAGAGCAGAGAAGTTTTAGGGAAAATAATAGGGAGTCCTTGCGCAGTCCTGTCAAATTGTGATGTGGAATGACATTTTGCTCCTGTGTAGTCAACGAATGGTATCGTCATGTGACCATTCCATTCATGTTTTGCATATCCAATTAAGTTTACCAGTATAAACCAGTCTCATTTATTTTTCCCAGGTAAGCCAGGCCTGTGTCAATTCGTCCCGACCTGACTACCTGTCAATTGCAGTTGAAAAAAAGGCTTTTCCGAAGACTGAAAATAAATGGCTTTAAATTCTTTTTCAACGATATATTACTGTGACTTTTTATGTTTTTCATAGAATTAAAAACTTATGATATCATGTATACCAATCGTGAAAAGTTTGGTTTCTGAAAATTTCACAAATTCATGATTTCCTACCGGGTCGTCCTTCGCGGGGATTTATTTTTCTGTGTAGCGACATTGATTGATTATTTTTTTTAATTATCTTCACTAGATTCTCGGATAATAAATCCGGGGTCTTTAACAGAGTAATCAGGGATTTGCCTCCGGTTGTATACTATTCTTATCGAATGGTAGATATGATATATCTCGTCTAACTATCAAACATTGCTAAATTATCGCCATAAACATTCAGATAAATTCGCCCAGCCTATATATAGAATAAGATGAAACAAGAAAAGACATATAAAGATCACATGATTAAAATCCAGTACACGAGACGCACGTTTCATTTACATACTACTAAATAGTAACAACACCACAATTAGAAAATTTCAGAACATTGAAAACTAAAATTCTAAAACGTTGTTCCAAACCATTTATGCTTGTATAAGACAAGGTACCAGTAGTAGTAGTTATAGTAGTAGTAGTAGTAGTAGTAGTAGTAATAATAATAGTAGTAGTAGTAGTAGTAGTAGTAGTAGTAGTAGTAGAAGTAGACATATAAACATGGTCGAAGTCTTATATAAAAGTATAAATAGACAAACTATTTCTTTATGATTAAATTAGAAAGACCCATCTGTCATTCTATTGATTAATTGTGCAACCATTATGTACAGCATGAAACCGTGAGAAGAAAGCAGATATGCGGGGCTGTGTACTAAATCTAACAATAATTATAATGTTACCTTACAGGATAAAATATTCCCAAAAGCAGAAAACATATCATTTAATGCCTTGGTATCCATGCTTTTGTCAAGATTCTTAATGAATACGTTGCCATCCCCTACTGACCACATGATTCTGATTGGTTGATCTTTGATGCTATCCATTGTCCCATGAGCTCTTTCAGCTACAGTATATATATTTATATATATATATATATACAAGTCTAAATTGAAAACAACGTTCAAACCTATGATTGCGTTGGATAAAAACCGCAATTTTTAAACGTGTGCATGCAAAACAAATTTCTTGGTAGAGGGGTCTAAATACAGCACAAACAACATTTTCCAAAAGACCAAATGGGTGAAAAAGTATATTTCATCGAAAAATATATATATATTTACATAATAGGACAACTCTATACATTTTGTTGGCGATGTCGACCACGCTAACGGCCTTCCCCGTTTTAATAGAGGAATATGTTTGGCCAACAATATTTCTTATTCTGTACACACACATACCGTTACTAACATTATACAGATCAAGAATTCTTCCTCTTATTTGTCATATAGATTTAAGAAAACTAATTCTATAAAGTTTGTATATACAGCTTACAATATGAAAAAAAGAATAAGGAGTTGTTGTTTAATGTGTTACAATCGAATAGATGTTTTGTAGATAAATTATAGTAAAGTTCAAAAGCTGCACAACAGCAATTCCAAAACATTCTCTCAAACAATTTGGTCATCAGGTGCATTCAATGTGAGCTGGAAATTTTTATATCAATATCGTAGTTTTTATTTAGATCATTCAAGAACACTTTGTATTTTCCTTGCAATTTTTAAAGTTCCTGCTTTCTATAACAGTCATGTATAGAACTTCATACTCATACCTGATTTTAGGTTCCGTTATTTGTGTTCCTGTGTGACGTTGGTATTTTTTACTTTTGCTTTTTGTTCATGGTGTTTCCTATCTTCCAGTTTATCTATTTCAATTCCTCCCTTTCGTATCTCTCCGTTTTTGTTTTGTTGTTGTTTTTTTTTTTTGGCAACTTTGATTATGTATTAGATTTAAGGAAATTATATGTTTTAAATGAAATTCGTTTAAAAAATTTCAGTAATATGAAACGTTTTTATACATGTTTGCATTCTACATTCAATCGAATTAATTTCTTTCATGTCTGAAACAGTGCAAAATAAGAAATGAGTCGTCGCAATGTAAAGTATTCATGTCTAAAAAGTGATGGATTCGTAAATGCATGCCAATTAAAGTAAGATAATGGTTGCAATGCTGATGACAAGTGTTCGTTTAAATATCAAACCCCAGCTGGTCAAAACAGAACACAATCAAAGCAGTCTGAAATCATATGTTGCAACCTTAGTGAGGCACAAATACATTCTTAGCAAATTCAAACTTTAAAGGAAACATTAATCATTCAAAGCATACAATACTAAGCACTACACTCTGAAACACTTACCATCTTCTTCTCTTTCAAATGTGACAAAAGCATAACCAAGCGAACTTTCTGTGATCTTATCTCTATATACTTGGACCCTACTGATTGGTCCTGCTGTTGAAAATGCATCCAGCAATTCAGCGTCGGTGACATCTGGATGTAGATCTCCTACATACAAGGACGTCCTCGGGTCACTTGTACCAGTTGTATTAACAGTCGTCATTTTCAGACGCTGTTTCTTTCTAGAATAAATAAGTTGATATCGTATTTGTAGCAAACTACCACTTTAGTAGTAAAGATATGAAAAAAATATTTGTTCTATTTTGTATCGTAAGCGTGTGCTTTAACATATCTTTTGTGTCGCATCAGACTCAGATCAGTTTTGATATTCAATATATTGAGAATTGTGCCTGCTACCACCAAGTCATGTTTAAAGCAGGTTTATTTAAGTAGGCCAATATCCGAACGACAGAGTTGAATAAAACAAAATCTTTTGATTGGCAACTTTGATTTCTTCTTTTTCTTTACCGTAATTGTTGATTCGAAAAGCCTTGGGTATAGAGATGAGGAAATCCATGTTTAGTATTTTTAGACAACTTTTTTGTAAAAATTTGTTTAACTTCACAATTCTTTATAATTATCATTCTCAATGACTTTCAAATACAAAGCAAAATATTTTAAAAATTCAAAACCTCATACGAACGTTGAAAAGCTGGTAAAAAATGAAAATGCAGCAGAAATAATGACATATAACAGAAGAAAACTGAATAACTGTTCAAACTGTATGTTGAAAATGAGTTTTTGCCTAAAATAAAGAAAGATTTATTAATGTACAGATAGCCACTTTAGCCATATCACAACTATATTTACTTATATTTCTTTAGTACATGTAGGTGGCTGATGTTTCAAAACAAGAATCACATTTATATTTAGAAACAAAACCATGTCATTGCCAATATTTCATAATCTCGACATGATGGATCGAATTGTCATGTCATCTCACAAGGTATTAATAAATAGGTACACATTATCATGACTCGGTGACTGCCAGTCCATACATTTGTATTGCTCTGTATTGACAGATACTGCGCGCATAAACTAGTTACAGTTTAAAAATTTATTTATTTCATAGGCACACATTCTTCGCTCCAGATTATGTAGCTATCATGAGATCACAAAGGAAGGAAGTGGTGATACAAAACAATAAATGAATTTACAGTTTTCCAGCCGATCAGTAGTTATGTTTCTTTGGTAGGTACCTACATAATTTTGAGCACGGATCTTTTTCCCTTTTACTTTTAGGAATGGTTTAAAATTTTTAAAAAAATAGTGCTTAACATAAAACTTTTCCCCTTAGTACCATCTGCTGTACCTGCTTACTAATTAAATCAAATAAAGCTACAGAATTAGTTTAAAGAAAACACACAAATCATATTCACATTTCTATAGAGAATATGCGTAAACGTTGATTCAGGTCAGTTGTGGTCAGTCACAAATCCAGAAAAACATCAGGCGGGATATTCCTTCCATGTCAAAAAACACATTTTTTATCATCGACATATTCACATTTGAAGTCAATTGGTGTATATATATATATATTATTGCAGGTCAGCCATTACAAGCTAATCATGGCCCATAAAAACCTTTAAATGGTTGATCCCCAATGTGTCGGCAAAGGCTCTTTGTTTAAAGCATAGGATTTAGTATCAATGGCAAAATGCTTACACTTCCGGGGCACCCGAGATAACCTCCAGTTTTTAATGGGGTTCGTGTGGCTCAGTCCCCAGTTTTTTTGGGGTTTTTTTGTTGTGTTTTGCATATTGTTGTTTGCCTTTTTGGTCTTTTACTGTGTTTGTCATGGCGTTGTCAGATTATTTTCCACTAATGAGTTTGAATGTCCATTTGGTATCATTCGCCCTCTCGTTTACTTCCTGTGGAAACAAAAACAATGTTTGTATCCACCCAGCTATTAATATAAGTATGTTTGCAATTGAAAAATACCTCTGCTTCAAGACTTTTTTTTAGGAATATAACAGATTCTGATTAGTTAATTTTGCTTATTTAAACTGCAATGGTTTATACGTTACAGTTATAGGAAAACATCAGTACCAAGTCAAGAATATGTCAGTTGTTTTTCACTTGTTCCGTGGATTGATAGCGTTTGATTTTGTCAGTTTTATGGACTTTCCTTTTTGAATTTGACTTGGAGTACGGTATTTTTGTTACACTTTTTTTTTTATGAATATAAATAAGAAGATGTGGTACGAGTGCCAATGAGAATGAATGCAAATCATGTTCTTAGTAAGGGATTATCCTATTATTTGGGTCTATTTACAGTTCAAAACAAAGAGTTTCTATAAATGAGTTACAACTGCCCCGAAGCACATTTATCAGATTGAAAGGTTTTATCACACAAATATTGAAACTGACTAAAAGTTGAATTGTGAAACAAACAAGTCATAATGTGTAAAAGTTCCTGTTCGTATTTTTTCTGGAAATTAATCTTTGAACAAGGTAATTCAGATTTTATTTTACCTGTCATGAATATGACAAAAACATTTGAATTCCCAACAATTTTATTCATTGGTTGTAAGTTATATCCCCAGCCTTAACTTGACATATTGAACCAAACTGACAGCTATTAGAGAATCATGATTCCAATATTTCATTTTTATAAATGATTTAAATTACAAAAACAAAATCACACCTCAAATTTTGGTTTAAGTAATGGCGAATGCACCTTTGAGAATATTAATCAATATTCAACCGAACAAAAACCCAATTATTTCTGCCTGGTTTGCCATCAATGAGACCTTGAGAACATTGATTTTAGGTATTTTGTTGTTTTCTCTCTCCCAAGTTTTTCATGTATTTCTCGGTCCAGTGTGGGTTATAGGAATGCACATGTTCATCACAGTACATTTGTTTATATAGGTAGGACGCATAAAAATTAAAATCGAGATAATATCGAAAAATATGTCGAAAAAGCATTTCGAAATTGATTTCAAAAATTGTTTACATCCAATATTATACATTTATCTGATATATAGAGAGAGAGAGAGAGAGAGAGAGAGAGAGAGAGAGAGATAAATCATAAAAATATCCTACTTATTCTCTACGTTTTTATACCCTCTGGGATTTGTTAAATTTGTCTCTAAATAGATAGATTAAGTTATCAGTGCACAGCTACAAAAAAGACACCTTTATAAATACCGTAAAATACTTACCTTTTGCTTGCTTCAAATGACTACATGTCACATATTTTCACCTTTGATTAAGTTACTTTCGTTTTTGGATTTAATAGGAAAATTTGAATGTTATTAATAATAGAATCAAAGGTGGGAAAAACTCCGTATATTTATTGTGTATATGTAAGAGAAATAAAACCCCTTTATTCGTGATTAATAACTAGCGTCATAAAGTACTTTTGATGAGCTATGATGAAAAAAGAGGTTAACATTTTTCTATCAAACTTAGAATATTGTAAAATGCTCAGGGCTCAAACGATCTCTTGATTAGTTTAAATAAATGATTCGTTTCATTGTCCATGTAATTTTCATAATCAATGGCATGACTTCCCTTTTAGTCATTTCATTTATCGATTAGTTTAAGTGATGTAAGCACTTAATTTGATAAATTGTGTTTAGACACAACAGTACGATGTAATGGTAGGAATTGTATAAGTATCTTATTTAGAATATAGCAAAGTACTCTCGACCAATGAAATTGTAGAATTGGATGCCTCTTAATTGTGAAGAATGAATGCAAATCATGTTCTTAGTAAGGGATTATCCTATTATTTGGGTCTATTTACAGTTCAAAACAAAGAGTTTCTATAAATGAGTTACAACTGCCCCGAAGCACATTTATCAGATTGAAAGGTTTTATCACACAAATATTGAAACTGACTAAAAGTTGAAATGTGAAACAAACAAAAATCTCAAAATAAGTTGAAGTTTACTGGTGCAGTAAAATTGGTACTGTGAATTTTATTATGAAAATATTAATAACTTCAAATTACTATAAAATTAAACATTACCGAAGCAATGCAAAAAAAAAGAAAAAAAATCTTTCAGATAAAAAATAACCTAAATCTTTAGCTTTCCAAAACTATGATTACTTGATCAGCGGTTGGGGAGAATAGTTATTTCCAATACAATTATTCCGATAAAAAACAGGAATTAAATTTTAAACATATTAAAAACTTTTCCCTGACATAATGAAACAGTATTTGATGTAAAAAACCGGACCAATTTTTGGCTGTGAAATAAAATTTATTTGTAACTCTAATGTATTAATTGATTTAAACTGTAAATAAAACAGGATAATTACTTACTAAAATATTACATGATTTACATTCATACTCACAATCAGGAAACATACAATTCATACCTTTTCTTTCTACTGTTGTGTCACCTAATATCTATAACGCTTTTTTTTTTAAATATTTCCCAAATCATAAGAAAGTCCTTACATCACTAAAACTTATCCATAAATGACATGCCGAAAAAGGAAGTCATGCATCAATTATAAACATTGCACTGACAATGAAACTAATTCTTGAATAGATCATTTGAACCTTGAGCACTTTACAATATTCTAAGTTTGTAAGAGAATGATAATTCCTTACTTCATGATAAGTACTCGCTAACGCTCGTACTTATTCATGAAGAAAGGGATTATCATTCTCTTACATATACAAAGCGTATGCATGTAAATTGTGATATGTTTAGTGGGGGATTGTTTTTTTTTTATCTACAGGTCAAATAAGTAAATTCAAAATTTAAGTTACAAATAAATTCTATATCATAGCCAATATTCTAGCTCTTTACACCAAATCATAATTTCATAATGATGTGAGGTAATTAATTAAAACTCAACTCCTTTTGTATATATTTAAAATTTGATTTAGATACCTGCTTTATTATCATTAGTATCGGAATATTGGAAATTAGTAATCTAACCATCCGCTGATACATTAACTGAGTTTTTGTGAACGTATTAGTAAAGGATTTAGGATATATTTAATTCTAAAAAAACATCTTGCTTTGCATTGCTTTGATATTGTTAATTCTTTCAGTAATTTTGAATCTTTAATATTCTCATAATAAAATTAACGGTACCAAATTTTCTGCACCCGTAAATTTCAACTTATTTTGATTTATTTGTGTTGTTTGTTTTGTTTTGTTTGAAAATTTAACTTTTAGCCAGTTTCAACCACAACTTGAATCTTTTCAAGCTGATAGATATGCTTCGTGACAAGCTCAATGTTTAAAAATGTACGTAAGCCCAAATAATAGTCCCTTACTAAGAATATGATTTACATTCATTCTTCACAATTAAGAAACATCAAATCCTACAATTTCATTGGTCGAGAGCATTTTGCCAGGTTTCATGTTTTCTCTTCTTAATGTTTGATCTATTGATATGTAGTCAAAAAGGAATATTAAGGAAGTCATGGTCATACTGTACAGATTTGAAAACCAATTAAAATCTCAAGTAGTACGTCTTATACAAATGTCACACTAAATTGGTCTTATTTGAATCACTTGTCATTTATTACATATAGTACCCTTGCTTTGATTAACAGTCTTTAATAAACTTGTATTTAAACTGGCACAAATTAAAAACATGTCATTGCGAAAACACATGGTAAAAATTTTAAGACTTTGGCAAAATGTTTTATCATTGATTAATTAGTGATTAGAGAGGAACTGCAGCATGAGCATGTTGAAGGAAAGATAACTATAAGGACAGGAAGGTAGGAACGATACAAAGTGGAAAGTGAAGGTGAATTCTTTTGCATTTTATTGGAATTTATACTTAATATAAAACCTGTTGCAGTCTTCAAAAGATACTTGAATTGCGAATGAAAGGGTTGAAAGCGTACGTTATCTGACTCGTTACTTATAAGCGATACACAACAGAGACAAATTATTCAGATTCTGCCAAGTTTGAGTATTAACATTTTGACGAGTTTTTACGACATTCTTTTGAACTGAATTATAAGTAGTTCAAAATATAAGATAACAAGATGTATCGAGTAAAACTGAGCTAATTGCCTTGTTATATGTTCCTTTAGGTTACATAAGAGAATGTAAATGTCTGTATTTGGGTCGTACGTTTAAATCCTGTATAATGAAGACAAAAACTTTTTAAGAAAAGCCACTTTTCTGACTTGATTTGGATCGAGAAAACAAACATATAATGAGCCAGAATCATCGGATATCAACCCCTTCATTGACTATCTATGTTCACTGGAACTTCATTACCTACTCTTAAAAGGGTAATCGTTTCAGGAGTTCCTTTTGAACTGGAACATCTGAACTTTGGATGGTTTGAGATAAATAGGTTTGTTATACTGAATGTGAATTTATATTGCTGTGCGGCGTGTTTCGGTTGGATAATCTGTTATGTCTTATCGTTTATAGTCCAAATAATTATAAAATTGCCTGTCCATATTGGCATGTAAATTGTTTGGACGAATATTGTGAAAATAATTGTATAAAGTTCGAGATTGCATGTTAGTTACGTAAGCGCGTCACTATTTTTGATATCATGGTATGGTGGAATATGTTCGTTGTTGTTCTGTGGTTTGCATGTTGTGTCGACTATTATATTATTTGTTTGTGTGTTTCTGTTATGAATGTTCTTGCGTGTGTTTGTGCTGTATTTCTGTCACTAAGTGTTTTAGCGATATTTTTTAACATTGTCATAAAGTGGGAGGTTTGGCATGCCATGAAACCAGGTTCAACCCACCATTTTATCTTAAAATGTCGTGTACCAAGTCAGGAATATTACAGTTGTTATCAAATAATTCGTTTATGTGTGTTGGCGTTTGTTTTTGTTGCACTTAGGCGTACCTGTTGTTCATTTGTTTTCCACTTATAGTTGATGTGTTTCCCTCGGTTTTGGTTTGTAACCCGGATTTGTTTTCTCTCAATCGATTTATGACTTTTGAACACC